TTTTCACACTGTATTCATTCTGAAAGTTTCATCTATGTAACTCTTCCCCCTTCCTCTTTGTCAGCAATCTGCCAAAACTTTTTTCTGGGTCCCCACCGTGTAAACAAACTGCCAGTCACTGTCTATGAATTAGTGTATCTGCACTTTTGACCCTCTCTCAACCCAGACACAAACCTATTGCTCAAAGTTCTACCCACAGAGAGGATTTTCCATCACAACTGTCTTGCAGGGCCACCTCTGAATGGGGTTATAATGCTGCAGCCATCTGCTGCCAGTTGATGGCAACACATTGTGAAAACCACCTATAAACTAGGCCTTAGCTTTTTTTCTTCTTCGGTCAAATGGCTTCTCCTGATGCGCAGCACAGGCTCTAGAGCACGAGAGCTTCAGTAGCTGCGGCTCCCCGGTTGTACAGGGCACAGACTCAATAGTTGTGCGGCATGGGCTTAGTTGGGTTTCCTAGGTGGCACTAGTGGTAAAGAACCCATCTGCCAACACAGGAGACACAGGTTTGATCCCTGGCTTGGGAAGATCCCCTGCAGGAAGGCATGGCAACCCACTCCAGTATTCTTGCCTGGAGAATCCCATGGACAGAGGAGCCTGGCGGGTTACAGCCCCTAGAGTCACAAAGAGTTGGACACGACTGAAGCAACTTAGCTCGCAGGCATAGCCTTAGTTGCTCCATGGCATGTGGCATCTTCCCCAAACAGGGATCAAACCCAACGTCTCCTGCATTGGCAGGCAGATTCTCTGTCACTGAGCCACTAGGGAAGCCCTTTAGGTCTCTCTGAAGGAGGATGGAAAGAGCTTTGTAAAAGGACAGCAGCATCTTGTTAAGCAAAACCAGAGGACATCATTGTTTTAAGACAGAAACACGTAGATAGATACTAAATGACCAAAAAAAATAGATTCTGCTAGCTATTCACTGTCTCTCAGCTCCAAGCACTCCATTCAAGACTCTGCTCATGATGTTTGGATGTATGTACTAAAATTTCCCGATGTCTTGCCAACCAGTTTCTGGTTAGATTCCGCAAAACGGAAGCCTAAGGTGGAGGTTGGAAAGAGGAAGGACTCCTCCTGCTTTCAGTTCCTCTCAGGCTTGCTCCAGCAGCAGCAGCAGCTGCTGCCACTGCCAGCTGTGACTTGAGCTTTTTTCAGCTGGCCCTGCCACATATCCTGCTGCGCTCCCTTGGGCAGTAAGAACATTAGATCCACTGTGCTTCCTCAGCTGCTGTACCATGCCACCTGAACCATCTAAGCACCTGTCAGGTTACCTCTCTCTCCTTTAAAAGTCTGAGTACCAACCATAATGCTTCTGAGGTCTGAAAATCAGCTGAAATATACTCCTTCCTGAGAAATGATCATCAGTCCCAGAGAGCCTCTCCTTCAAAGCTGTGCTGTTAAGTCACTTCAGTTGTGTCCAACTCTGTGCGACCCTATGGACTAAAGCCCACCAGGCTCCTCCATTCATGGGATTCTCCAGGCAAGAGTACTGGAGTGGCTGGCAAATCAGTATTAGTATTAGGGGGTCTCCAAAGAAACAGAACCAATACAAGAAAGATCAACAGAAAGACATACACATAGAGAGACTTACCAGATATTGGCTCATGTGATCATGGAGCCTGAGAGGCCCCACATTTGCAAACTGGGTACCCAGGAAGGCCAGAAGTGTTGTTCAAAGGCCTGAGAGCCAGAGAGCCAGTGCTGCAGGTTCCCATCTGTGTCTGAAGGCCTAAGAATCACGAGCATAAAGGGCAGGGAAACAGTCATGTCCCAGCTCCAGCAATCAGGTAAAGGGCAAACTCAGTCTTCCCCTACCTTCCTGTTCCCTTCAGGCCCCCAGCGGATCATATGAAGCACAGTTACGTTAGGGAGGGCGATCTGCTTTGCTCAGTTCATCAATTCAAACATTCATCTCTTCTAGAAACCCTCTCACAGACATGCCAAAAATACTGTTTAAACAGATGTGAGAGTCAAGAGTTTTCAACCTAAGTTTCAACAGCTCTAGCAAAGAACTTAATCAATGTTATAAATATTGTCGCTTTAAAATAAAACTATTCCATCACTCCAAATTTACCCACTAGACTCTAAAAATCAGAGCTGTTTAATATCCGCCATCTCCATTTAAAAAATACATTCCACCTCACCCACAATTTTGCACTTAGAAGTTCACAGTCACATTTCTCTATAATAAAAATGTATGTTAATTTGTACCACTTTAAAATTTTCAGTGTACACAATTCAAATTTTTAAAAATTTCTTCTGGCTTGATTAATTACAATTAGCATTATTATACAATGGAGTATAAAAATATATGTTTTGACATACTACTAAATATAAAATAAAATTTATGGAAATATCTATTAATGAGATTGATGTTCCTTTAACAAAAATAAGATCATATATCTGTGGACAATGTTAATTATTGGGATGAGATGGAGCTCAATGGAAATCAATAACAAAAATACTATCAAGTGTGGGGCTTTAAAAATATATTAATAATCATGTGTATTATTTATAAATTATTAATAACACAGATTATAGAAGCTACAACACACTTCAGATAATAGGGATGAATAGAGAGCAGAGACGTAACTTATAATTCTTACTAACCAGTAATCTCCCAAAGTTTAAAGAAAATAAAATTTAAATTTTCTAGTAGCCTTTTGGCAAAGATACTGAAAATATTTCTCCTGATAATCAGAAAAGTACATTTTATTTAAAGGTGTCATGTTTATCTTTGGAAAGTAAACATTGGAGCTTTCATCTCCTTACTTGAAATCACACAAATATATAAAACAAGGTATTGGTTTATTTCTTAGTTTGAGTAGACTTCTCAGAGACTGTTTCAAATTGTCCCTTTATTTAGTGTCTTTGAAATTTTCTTTTATTCCAGGGGAATGCACTATAGTAAAATTAAGTTGGGTAAAAAAATTACCTTATTTTTTGTAAAGAGGACAAATGGAGACTGTGAAAGAGAAGCTAAAAAGGAGAAACTGCCAAGTACTACTTTGACCACAGGGAACTCTATTTTAGAAAGAAATACATAATTAGAGAAATTTATAAACATATCCTTTAAAAACTAATGACATCTGTAAACTTGAAATTCATGGGAAGGCTTTGTGAAACTCATGTGGTAACAATACCCCTGTTTGAAAGCCATTAGTCAAAGAATATTTTTAAAGACCACTGCACATATAGGGTAAAATCAACATTAGTCCTTGTATTAGGCGGTTATTAAAAAAAATGAGAAGCATACTGAAATACAGTTTCAGATATAGGAGTAGAAACAGAAATATATTTTTTTGGGGGGGGGGGAAATAAATATCTGCTTCTTCTAATAAAAATTTCTTTGCAGTAGTCCCAGCTTTATTGTACCCAAGTTTTGACTTAACAGTCAAAGCTAAGATTAATCATAAATTCATCATGTACAAAGTTGACCTTAAATCTCTCACTCCAAAATTCCCAGTCTTTGCAATCCAACCTACCTCTGTAACACTGCTGCCCAGCTCCTCAGAAGTATCATCATTAGTCTTAAGACCCCAAATTTATCACAATCCCTCCAACAACTGTACTATCACCACAGTTTTACTCTAAAATAGGAAAACAGGGTTTCCCCGGTGGCTCAGTGGTAAAGAAACTGCCTGCCAAAGCAGGAGACACAGGTTCGATTCCTGAGCCAGGAATATCCCGTGCACCACAACTACTGCGCCTGCGCTCTAGAGCCCAGGAGTCGCAACTAGTGAGCCCACGTGCTGCAACTACGGAAACCCGCGCGTACCCTAGAGTCTGCGCTCCGCAACAAGAGAAGCCACTGCAATGAGAAGCATGAGCACTGCAACTAGAGGGCAGCCACCACCTGCTGCAACTAGAGAAAAGCCCACATGGCAACGAAGACCCAGCACATCCAAAAACAAACAATTTAAAAACATAAAGGGATATTTATGCCTTGCTATAAAAATTAACTTATAAAATTTACTTCCTTAAGTACAAACAGCAAACAATACTATCATCAGCATCTTTAAAACAAATTGAACCCAACTGTCTAAAGCCACAGAAATCACTGACAAGAATTACAACTGCGTACATGGAGTAAATTTTTAAATTATGTTTTTTTATACAGACTAATTCTCCACTTTCTGACTATTTTATAATATAAACCTCTGGATCTATATATTGGACTTTTAATCATTAGTGGATAAATTTCAAGACAGAACTAAGTCTGAATGAATTCATCACTATATTACAGTACAGCATATTTAACTATTACATAAAACTAGTTTCATTTGAGTCACAACCTCAATTGCCTACAGGGACCAGGAAGTAATCTAAATGTGGAACAGGTTAGGTTTAACATAACAGAGAGTAATGAAAAGCATTCTGTTCTAAAAGCACTCAATTATTTTTAATACTATAAGCCAAACAAAAAAACATACCTGGAATTGATATGACCAAATTTATAAGGGGTAGAATTTTGCAACTCTCATTGTTTAGCTTTCACAACATATTCAACAGATTCAAAGCCAATATTTACCTAATACCCACTGGAAAGAAGATACATGTAATGAGACAATGCTTATGAAATGTTACTGTTGACACAGCAAGTACATGTGTATAAAGTTGTCTCATTAAATTTTATGAGACCCCAGCAGTGATTAGAATTATATACAAATTACAGATCAAACCTACACCCCTAACTTATTACATTATATCAAAAAGAAAAACACACTCTGGTGAAAAGAATATTTTATTGCAATACTTTAATACCGAAATTGACTATTTTACATATCCACCAGCTCTTATTCACTGTCCCTATCTATCTCAGAAGATAGTCAAAGTGAGATTAATTGGATGAAGCATTCTCAGCAAATCTAGAACATTCTGTACTTCAATTAAAGTTAGGTCCTTTAATAAATTACGTCTTATTCTATTGTTCTATAATATTTATGAAATGATTAGTGCAATAATATCACTGAAGAATTATTTAAAAGGCAAACACCCTATAGATTTGGATTTGTCATCCCGATTCCTCGGCATTCAATAATATAAGTGTCTTTAGAGGCATCTTCTTCATCTTCTGATTTCTTCACAGTAAATTTAGCCTGAAACCAGAAGAGCATTTAGTATATAAGTAATATGAAGAGGGACACAGGGGACAGCCCATAACTCCTGCTTAAATAGGTAGGCAGTTAATACCAAACTCATTTTATTGAAGAAGCTAGAGATAGAAAGATCAAATGACTCATGAGCAATTCAACAGCCTACATATAAAATACTTTATTCCAGAAGCATTGTCCTTATTCAGAGGTACACGGATTTGTGGAGTTTTGCCAGAATATATGTAACCTGGATCCCATTTCTTACCCACTGAATCAGAACTCCTCAGAAGTGCAGCTTTAAGTAAATATCAATTTTTAAATCTCAATACCTACTAAATTTTTTCTAAACATGGAACTGAAGCATTTAAACTTCTTTTATCGTGTCAAATATCAAATTACCCTTTAATTTCTCTCAAATTTTCTTGCCAATTTAATTCCCTAAATACAGTATTTAAAATATCTAGTTCTGAGGAGACAGGGGGAGACAGGTGACAGCATCTTCCCTCATCAATATTGGGTTTGACACTGTACTTTTCACTTGTTAACTGATTCAAGTTTAGCGTCGAAACATCTGATCTCTATCACTATATTGTGGAAACATGATTTTTTTTAAAAGCAAATATATTCATTCTAAGAAAATTGAATTAAAATCAAAATAACTGAGGAGGCTGACTGAATCTGTGACAGAGGGATCTGAAGTATGCCTAAAACCTTAGGATTCTCTGAAATACAATTTGAAAACCACTTCTCCAAGGTCCTGTTGGACTGCAATATTTAAAAATTTTTCCAGTTTTAGGATTAGATGGCCGTGCGTGGACTCTGAAATCTATTGTCGTATGAATAAACAATGAATCTGAATTATGAGCTAGAGAGACTAGTTATATGTATATACATTTTTCTCAAATTACAAGCACTATATAAATATGAAAAAAAGGTAACAATTATGGAAATAATTTCTAGCCTACATATAAAGTTACAAAAATTCAGAGTTGGAAGGAGCTGTAAGGCACACACAGTCTCTGGCCTTCCTGATGAATTACCTGCACTGAGACAGAATGATGAAGCAGCTTGCCCCCGGTCCCTGAGTTAAAACACAACAATGCTGACTGAGGAACCAGAGCACAAAAACCCAGCTCATGGCACCTTCCACTGTGCAGTCAGTTCAAACAACATATGCGTGTCTACTATGTGCAAAGTACTGTAGAAAAAATGCATGTACCCTTGTCGCTGCTATCAAGAAGATCACAGTCTACACAGGGAGACAGACTAATAGTAGTTACAAAATAAAGCATAAGTAGGATAATAAAAAATACAGTTAACTATCTTTTGAATCAAATATACTTTGCTTTTGCCTCCTATTGAGCCTTTTCCCACAACTTGATCAAAATCTACCTATCCTGTCTAATAACAAAAAAGGTACACATTAAGAATCATACAAATAAAATGTGAGGAGTAGGGTAACAGTGGGTTTGTGCTTGGTATACCTCTGTTATGTTTCATTTCTTATTACTACTGTACATTATTTTTGTAACCTTTTAAAATGCTTAAGGTCAACACGTTCCTTCATAAAATTCTGAGTTATAAATTTTATATTACTTTATAAAATTATGTTATAAAGACTGCAGCAAAATAGAAATATGCCACACACCACTGAAAAAGGAATGAAATGATGCTGTATGCGTTAGCTGTTAAAAAAAAGAATAGAGAAGAGAAATAATTTTAAGAGGAGGAAAATACCTAAATGCCAAGAGTGGTCTTACTGGCAAAGGGGAGTTAGGGACAGGATTTTTTCTCTATTTTCTAAACTTTCTATAAAGAAGTTAGTTTCAGATGAAATACACATGCCATTTAAGAATCCTGTTAAACAAGGTATGAATATGAGATTATTCATGTTAAATTCTTTTTCACTCACTAAAAATTATACATCTAGGGAATTCCCTGGCAGTCCAGTGGTTAGGATTTAGCACTTTCACTGCTAAAGCCCAGGGTGGATGCCTGGTCAGGGAACTAAGATTCTGCAAACCACATTGTATGGCCAAACTTGAAAATACATTAACATATATACACACCTACTCTTCCGAAGTTGAAAGGACTGGTAAAATGTTAGAATTTCAGCAAATATTCTATTCTACAAAAATAAAATCACAAGGAAATAAAATATATGAAATTTTTATATAATAATTTAAGTTTAGCCAACTAAAAATCCCTTGTGATTTGATCTTATAGTTCCCATTAAAATGCCTTCACTTACTGTAAGGCAGTACCTACCACATATGAGCTTTGATGAATGCTCTCCCGGGTTTGCTCAAAGCTCAGTCCTGCCCCTAAGGAACTATCTGGTCCTCAGCAATGAATTTAATCCCTCTGCCTCACATAACTCATAAATAAAATGAGACCAATAATAAATAGCCACCCGCAACGGTCACGCACAGTAAAATGAGTCAGCTTCACTGCTGAGTGAGTTCAGTATCTGCCACAGGAAGCAGTCACTGAATGACGGCAATTACAGTTACCACTGAAGTTTTCTGTTTATTAAAATCTGACTCCAAATTGGCCATAATAAAGATCAACCACAATCATAATCAATCATAATAAAGATTTCTGATGGAATACTCACCTTTGCTAGTTGCTCAGCAAAATGTATAGCTGTTTGGGTGTGGAGTGTAACTGGTCCTGTTTTTATTCTGGAAATTCCACTGGCTAACGCCATAAAAATGATCAGCTATTAAAAAAAAAAACACACACAAAGAAGGAAACTCTCACACATTTACTTATACTTGGAGTTAAAAGTCTACTGCTCTTTGTACAAAAATAATACTAGATATCAAAATAGCCAAAAAATAGTTTATTTTTTAATTGGAGGATAACTGCTTTACAATAGTGTTGGTTTCTGCCATGCATCAACATGAATCAGCCATAGGTATACACACATCCTCTCTCTTGAACCTCGCTCCCACCGCCCACCCCTCTAGGCTGTCACGCAGCAAACTCCTGCTGGCGATTCATTTTACATATTGTCAAGTATGTTTCAATGCTCCTCTCCCAATTCGTCCCACCGGCTCCTTCCCAACTGTGTCTGTGAACCCGTTCTCTGTGTCTGCGTCTCCACTGCTGCCCTGCAAATAGGTTCATCAGTACCAGCCTTCTAGATTTCATATGTATGCATTAATATACAATATTTGTTTTTCTCTTTCTGACTTACTTCACTCTCTAACGGGCTCCAGGTTCATCCTCCTCATCAGAACCAACTCAAATGCATTCCTTTTCCTGGCTGAGTAATATTCCACTGTGTAAGTGAATGTGTGTGTGTGTGTATGTATATATACACACCACACTTTATCCATTCATCTGTCGATGAACATCTAAGCTGCTGTGTGTGTGTGTGCGTGTGTGTACACACACACACCACACTTTCTTTATCCATTCATCTGTCGATGAACATCTAAGCTGCTTCCATGTCCTAGGTATTGTAAATAGTGCTGCCATGAACACAGGGGCATATGTGTCTTTTTCAAATATGGTTTTCCCAGAGTATATGCCCAATAGTGGGCTTGCTGGGTCATACACAGCTCTAAGTGATAAAGAACCTGCCTGATAATGCAGGAGACATAAAAGACATAGGTTCGATTCCTGCTTCAAGGAGATCCCCTGGAGGAGGACACAGCAACCCATTCCAGGATCTTTGCCTGGAGAATCCCACAGACAGAGGAGCTGGAGGGGGCTACAGTCCATAGGGTCACACATGAGTGAAGTGACGTGGTGACTGAGCTGGACATGAGCAAAGTGACGTAGTGACTTAGCTGGACATGAGTGAAGTGACCTAGTGACTTAGCTGGACATGAGCGAAGTGACTTAGTGACTTAGCTGGACATGAGTGAAGTGACTTAGCACACATGCACATTACCACTTCACGCTATAACTCTTAATTCCTAGTTTAAAAAAGAATTTCCATTTCTTTAGGTTTACAAAAATCCTAAGATGATAGAAAACCTGTGAAACCAAAAGTCTGTGGAATAGCACAAAAATGCTTAGTAAGTTTATAAACTTAATGTTTAAGAACACAGAGTTGAAAATTAACAAATTTTATCAGACCACCTGTCCCTGTAAGTTATTATATGTAAACTGACAAGTTTCCTTAAAAGTTCTAAAATTACAACACTTTAATAGGTAAACAAATACACTAATACAGAATTACTGGACTGTAGAATAGTAAGAAGGAAGAGACTAGAAATAGGAAAACTGTCTTAAGGAAACTGGTCAAAAAACCTTGAAGAATACTTTTCTAAGCAGACATCTGATTGTGATTAAGGGGGAAAACTGGTAGAAAGGAAAACCTATCAAGACAGTGGACCATAAAAAGACTGCATTTGGAAATATTTATTAGCACCTCTCGATGTGAGTAGATGTGTTAGGTTTGAGAGGTGTATGACACATCCAAGCGGGGACGCTGACAGGCGTTATAATGGACGTGCAGTTAAGGAGACAGGTCTGGGCTAATGAAATGAATTTAGAAGCTATCAGCATACGGACGGTACTTGAGCCACGAGACTGGAAAAAATAACTGAGAGACTACATACAGATAAACAAAAGAGGTGTGAGCTTAAGCACAAGGGCTCTCCAAAATCCAGAAGTTGAGAAGAGGTAAACAACAATAATAATAAACTAGCAAAGGGACTAGAACGTATGGCTAGCGACACAGAAAGATAACAGTGTTTCAGAAATCAAGTGAAGAAAGTATTTCAAGAATGAAGGAGTGCTCGGTGTTTCCAATGCTATAGCCAGGTTGAGTAAGATGAAAACTGAAATTTGTTGTATATAAATTCCAGAATAATACTTTAAAAATGGACTGAATTAGAACATGCCAATCAGTGTCTGAAAGTCAATAACTAAATTTATATTCAATCTAACTGTCCAATATTCAAATGTAATAGGCTTGGAGGCTTTTATCCTAAAGTGTCATTACCTGGTCTTGCAGATACTCATCCACAGCACCACCATGTCTAAGATTTGCCAACAGCATTTCAGCAGCTTCAATTCCAACCTTGTCTGCATTAACACCTACAACAGACACAATGTAAAAAAAAAAAAAAAATTACTAAGAGGCAAAAAGTTTAACATATCCCAGTCAGCAGTGGCATAACATCTTTTAGGCCTCTGAACTCACCGATTTCAACTTTTAGGATAAGATCTTCATGTACTGAATCTTCTGAGAGTTAAGCATATGCAAACACATTATTAAATGGACCAGTGAGGGGGTGGGGGAACAGGCTTTGGTCCTGTTTAAGAAGTACTAATTATAAAATCAATTTATATGAGACCCTATAATACTCTATAATACTATGCCTTGATTTCAAAATTTTTAACTCACAATTCATATATGTTAAAATTAGTCTGCAGACAATTCTATTAGAATTAAAGGATTTTTTAAAAGTTCAGATAATTTTCACCTAAGGAAGAGCAGATAAAGATTCTCAGCTTATATATACAAAGTTTTATTCTTTTAAGATTTGAACAAGTATTACCTTATTTGTTTCTTGGCAGCACTGCACAGCTTGTAGGACCCTAGTTCCCTGACCAGGGATGGAACCCAGGCCCTGGAAGTTCTAACCACTCGACTGCCAGGGAATTCCCTGGTATTATCTTATTTTAAAAATAAGAATATTTATTCCATTGTTCTACTTCCTGCTTCTCTACATATACCACAAATATTTGGTACAATGCTTAAATACAAAATAAATCCATCAAATGTAGTGGAATGTCAGATGATTCTTTTTATTTACTTTAAACTAAAAGAACCCTATGGGCTTCCCTGGTGGCTCAGTGGTAAAGAATCCACCTGCCAGTGCAGGAGACGTGGGTTCGAACCCTGGGTTGGGAAGATCCCCTGGAGAAGGAAAGGCAACCCACTCCAGTATTCTTTCCCAGGAAATCTCATGAACAGAGGAGCTTGGTGGGCTATAGTCCATGGGGTCACAAAAGAGTCTGACAACTTAATGACTAGGCAACAAGAACAAAATTAACCCTTGGCTGCAAATGAAAATGGCTTTTGCAAAATGAGAATCTGGTTCATTTTTATATTTGGAAATTCACCTAACTATATACATGTCTTGATAAACTGTCCCAGAAAATGGAAATCAAATTTTAACCATTTTTTCCCTTACAGAAGTCACTATAATAATGTAATACATTAAACTATCTTTATAACATTAATCAATCATTTACATGACTGAATGAAATGGTTTGGAACATGTATGAATCTTGACTTTTTGGTAAACTACTCTGCCTCTTCCATTTCTTCTTCTAGATGGAAATAGAGATGATAATACCTTAGTTGCGAAGTTGTTAAAATCAGAGATAATATTTATAAAGCTTTTAATTTCAATACTAGTTCATAATAAGCTGTTAATAAGAATAGCTACTATTGATAACACACATGATACTACATATGTATCATACTAAGTGACAGAAACTGGTTCCTTAGCTAACGAGGTACTAAAAAAATAAGAGGGTAAGTGCTAAGCTTATGGTATAAACTATATATCCAATGAAAGTTCAGAAAAGGAAATTGTAAGTTCCAGAATAATTTGAGAATGTTTCATGAAGCATTAAAGGACTTCAAGGACTTGAGTCCTTGAAGAACAGCTAAAATTTCCATGGAGTATGAAAAAAAGGAAGCAATTCCTGACTTTGTAGTATTAGAGAACAGTAGTTGCACTAAGGTTTCTCAAGGTTTCTCTGCCAAGTTGCAAACTATTTCTCAGAGCCATTCACATTCCTTCCTACTCAGCTGCCTTGACAGTGAATAATGGTATGAATGGACCTACATTACCAGCTATTAGTAGGAGTCTATGGTAACTGAACAAAATGAAGTAAATAGGAGAATTTTTTTTGTTAGTACTATGTTCTAAATAAAAGAGCAAAATCCTGATTTCTTTGGAAGACCTAAGGTTTTTCTGACAAACACTCTTCTGGCATTTTAGAGATTTCTTAAAATCGCCTCAATTTTGATGGCTTATAACAGATTTAAAAAATATTCAATGATTTGAGGTTTCTTCTAGCTTATTAAAGGGACAAAACTGAACAGAGAAAGCCAAAGGACTGATTACAGCATCAGAGACATGCTTTGAATTACTACATATATTGAAGGAGGAAAACAAAGTGCTAACTATAAGCTAGTGGTGTCCATACATAAGAAACAAGATTGATAAGCCAGAGATATAATTCATCTTAGCAGATTAATTTGTCCCATAGTAAAGTACAGAAGTAACTGAAATATGAGTGGTCAACAAATCAGAGAGATATATAACAATGTGAAAACATATATTCTGTCCATATTGCAATCATATAAACGTGGAAACAATTCTTGTATGTAGATAATGGTCGGATCTCATTTTTGAGTTAAGGAAAGCACAGAGTCACCATGTAACATAACTGCAGACATAGGAACAACTTAGGTTTTATTGCTCTCAATTTAGTGCTGTTATAATACACTGCCTCTATCTAAAACTGCTAAGATTAAAAAAAAACAAAAACAAAACCCCTCAAATCTCACCTTTGCAACAGAATTAAAGAATGTTTTAGCTGGAAGGATTTCAGAGATTCTTCAGACTAACTCTCTCACTCAATAGATAAAGAAACCAAGATCAAAATAGTTTTAGTAACTGAGACAAGGACAAAAATATGATTCATTACAACTTATTGCTTGTAATACATATGGTGGTGTGGACAACCAGCCAGTGCTGCTTCTGATTATAATGCTTAAACATTAGGATTCAGAGTCTAGCAATTTTCTAGTTAATTTAAATCAGAAATAAAAAGAGATCTAGATATTGGGAGCCATGACATTCTCTTGAGACCCTTAATATAGACAACCTACTAGGTGGCTCTGGAGAAGGAAATGGCAACCCACTCCAGTATTCTCGCCTGCAGAATCCCGCGGGCAGAGGAGCCTGGCGGTCCACAGTCCACGGGATCCCAAGAGTCAGACACGACTTAGCAACTAAACCACCACCACCAAGAGGCTCCGTGGTAAAGAATCCTTCTGCAGTACAGGAGGTACAGGTTCGCCCCCTGGGCTGGGAGTATCCTCTGGAGGGGGCATGGAGACCCACTCCAGTGTTCTTGCTTACAGAACCCCACAGATATAGGAGCCGAGTGGGTTAGAGTCCCCAGGGTCACAGAGAGTCGACATGACTGATGCTCCTTAGCAGACACAGGAAGAGCGAAGACCCCAAGGTACCTCTGCATTTGCTAGTTACATCCCCTGGGACTTGAGCGCCTGACTGGAAACACGGGCAGGCAACTTCAGCAAGTACGCAACTCTATCTTCTCATCCCTCCCACCACTGCAGGTCTAAAAATAACAACTGTGCGTTCTATATGCGTGCTGTTCAAAAACACCTCATATGACAAAGTTTAAAAATGTTGATGAAATATTAGCAAAGAAAATTTTTCTGGGCTGGTAGTAGAGTTAATTCCAAGTGTTGCTAATAACAGAGCAACGACCCCTTTATGATATCAATGCAACATATCTAAAACTATCATCTACACTGGCAAACTAACTCTACCTCCCATATTCACAAAGTTGTAAATGTTTCCAGGTACGCAAGCTAGAAATCAAGGTCATTACACTGCCTCCCTCACCTTCCATATCCAGTTGATCACCAGTCTATTCACTCCCCTAAATACCCTTACATCACTACTCATCTCTCCAGCCTCAGTCATTGCATTCCTTGGTGTAGGCCCATCATTTCTGATCTGAACTGATGTAACAGATTTGTCTTCCTGCCTCCACTATGTTTTTCCTTTAATCTGCTCCACAGCTACTTACTTTCCAAAGACCTGGTCTTATATCCCTCCTTAAAATATTCATTTTCAGGATGAAACCCAAACTCCTTTATGAGGCATATAAAGCTCTTCAAAATCTTGACTTCTTTAATCTCATCTCTGTTTCTCCCTGACCCAGATCCTCTACTCATCACTTATGTCTGTAGTTGCCCAAACAACATCAGCACTTTCCTTTGTCCTCTTCTTTAGCTCTCCCCAGCCTTTTTTTTTGGCCACTCCACATAGCATGAGCGATCTTAGCTCCCAACCAGGGATCAGACTCATAATTGAACTCATGCCCCCAGCAGTGGAAGCACTGAGTCTTATCCACTGGACCACCAGGGAAGTCCCAGCTCTCACTCTTCTATCCAGCTAACTTTTACTTCTCTATAGAACCCACTGGAGGACCACTGAACAGCACAAGATAGATTTGGGATCAATCAGTCCCCAAAGAATTAGCTGTTTTTCTCCTGTGTTCCTAGGTGCCCTGGAGATAGAACAATCACAGCACTCGTCTGTCTCCTCTGCCAGACTAAACCAGGCAGCAGAAATGGTGGTTCTCACTTCTGAATCCTTCATGTACAGTACCTAGCAGGTCTTGGTACTCAAGGATAATACAAACTGAACTCACATTTCACTCAGTGCCTGCCAAGCACGGTATAACTTCTGACATATGGGCTCCTAGTCTCTGTTTTATATTTTGCATTATCTTTGCCCTCTTAAGACTGTTAAAGATACTGCATATAATACCTCACCATTTATGTTGATTCCTCACTGCACCTAACAAGTAATGAATATACACTATATAGTCTTGATCACTATTTCTCAAATTTTATTATACATTAGAGAGCTTATTCAAACAGATTTTTGGGCCCCAAAGATTCTGGTTTCACACAAATGAGGTGGGTCCCCAGAACTAGCTATTTCCAGCAAACTCCCAGATGATGCCGATATGCTACCTGTCCGCCAACCACACACTGAACAGCACAGTTTTAAACAACTCATTTATGTCTGATCAGCAAATATGTTAATTTTACCTATTCTATTACACTGGTTAAATGTGACACCCAACTACTGTCTAGATCTACCAACTGAGCAGACTAAAATTACCTGAATTCGTGTATTCAGCAGTACTAATGTAGTTAAATGGCATGAGTGTAAGCATCTTTTAAAGATGCTATCAAGTAGGAAGAAAGCAATCAAGTACCACACAAATAATGAAGAGTTCAACCATTAATAGAAGGAAATGGCAACCCACTCCAGTATTCCTGCCTGGGAAATCTGATGGACAGAGGAGTCTGGTGGGCTATAATCCATGAGGTCGCAAAGAGTCGGACATGACTGAGCAGCAGAACACACACACACATGTAATAGCAAAAGTAACTTTAAATACTAACAGATGCATACATGCATCTCCTCTCCCAAATATGCCAAATACTATAGAAATTTCCCTCTCACAAAAACATTCAGTATTTTGAAATCAACACTGTAATAACTGATGCAGGGAAGAACCATCACATGTTAAAACCACTGGAGGAAAGCTGTATTGTTACAAAATAATCAGATAGTCTCAAAGTATTATCCTAGAGTATTTATGAATTATAATACAAAGGGAAAGGGGGAAATTCCCTGGTGGTCCAGTGGTTAGGACTCCACGATTTCACTGCAATGGCGAGACAATGAAAAGGAGGGGAGGAAGAAAGGGAGAAACCCTTATAGCAGACAGACCTGGAGGACACCACGGTACCAGGTGACCACAGTCCGCTTTACTGATAAAAGACAGACTGACATTATGTGCACCTTGATGTGATTTAATGGCTCAGTGGTAAAGAAACTGCCCACAGTGCAGGAGACCCAAGAGACATGAGTTTGATCCCTGGGTTGGGAAGATTCCCAGGAGGAAGAAATGGCAACCCACTCCAGTATTCTTGCCTGGAAAATTCCATGGACAGAAGAGTCCATGGGGTCACAAAGAGTCTGACATGACTGAGTGCTCACTCATTCACTGATGTGATACAACAGAATATACACAAAATCACCTGTGCAATAGTCTTACTAAAAATGTTTAACCTGAATAAATATGAGATAATCAGACAAATTCACATAATGGAAAATCCTGTAAGAAAATGGCTTGGAGTTTTCAAAATGTAAATATCATGAAAGGGGGAAAAACAAAGGCAAAGAAACTATTCTGTAGTTAAAAAAGAAACTAAACAGACATGATAACCAATGCTGCGTGTGCTCAGAAACAAAACAAAACATCTCAAATTACTCTAAAGAATATTTTGGAGGCAACTGGCTGCATCTAAAAATAACAGACAGATTCTTTAGGTATAAAAATGGTAATGTGGCATTTCCCTGGAGGTTCAGTGGTTAAGACTTTTCACTTCCAAGGCAGGGGGTGCAGGTTGAACCCCTGGTTCGGGAAACTGAGATTCCCACATGCAGCACAGCACGGTCAAACAATTAAAAAAAAAAGTGGCATTTGATGATGCAGGTATTATTCTTTGGATGAACACACTGCAGCATTCAGCGGGGAGACTGGGTACCTCCAACCTTTCACAGACATGGTTCAGAAACACACAGTCAGTTCAGTAGCTCTGTCGTGTCCGACTCTTTGCGATGCCATGAATCGCAGCACACCAGGCCTCCCTGTCCATCACCAACTCCCAGAGTTTACTCAAACTCATGTCCATCAAGTCGGTGATGCCATCCAGCCATCTCATCTGTCATCCCCTTCTCCTCCTGCCTGCAATCTTTCCCATCATCAGGGTCTTTTCCAATGAGTTAGTTCTTCACATCAGGTGGGCAAAGTATCGGAGTTTCAGCTTCAGCATCAGTCCTTCCAATGAACATCCAAGGACTGATCTCCTTTAGGATGGACTGGTTGGATCTCCTTATAGTCCAAGGGACTCTCAAGAGTCTTCTCCAACACCACAGTTCAAAAGCATCAATTTTTCAGTGCTCAGCTTTCTTCACAGTCCAACTCTCACATCCATACAGGACCACTGGAAAAACCATAGCCTTGACTAGACGGACCTTTGGTGGCAAAGTAATGTCTCTGCTTTTTAATATGCTATCTATTAGAAACACACAACATGTAGCTAAATGTTCATAACCAGTGTATCTAGGAAAGCAGTGTATGGACATTCACTAATCATTCAACTTTTCTGTAAGATTGAAAATTTTCAAAGTATAAAGTTGGAGGAAAGACTTAAAATTTAACTGACTCTAAAACAGAACCAGTTAACCATATCCAGACTACCTGAAAAACTATGGACAGAGATTCAATACACTGTACAGGAGGCAGGGATCAAGACCATCTGCAAGGAAAAGGAATGCAAAAAGGCAAAATGTCTGTCTGAGGAGGTCTTATAAATAGCTGAGAAAAGAAGAGAGGTGAAAGGCAAAGGAGAAAAGGAAAGATATTCCCATTTGAATGCAGAGTTCCAAAGAATAGCAAGAAGAGATAAGAAAGCATTCCTCAGATATCAATGCAAAGAAATAGAGGAAAACAATAGAATGGGAAAGTCTAGAGAGCTCTTCAAGAAAATTAGAGATACCAAGGGAACATTTTATACAAAGATGGGCTCAAATAAAGGACAGAAATGGTATGGACCTAACAGAAGCAGAAGATATTAAGAAGAGGTGGCAAGAATACACAGAAGAACTGTAAAAAAAGATTTTCACGACCCAGATAATCACAATGGTGTGTCACCAATCTAGAGTCGGACATCCTGGTATGTGAAGTCAAGTGGGCCTTAGGAAGTATCACTATGAACAAAGATAGTGGAGGTGATGGAATTCCAGTTGAGCTATTTCAATCCTAAAAGACGATGCTGTGAAAGTGCTGCATTCCATATGCCAGCAAATTTGGAAAACTCAGCAGTGGCCACAGGACTGGAAAAGGTCAGTTTTCATTCCAATCCCAAAGAAAGACAATCGCAAAGAATGCTCAAACTACCGCACAACTGCACTCATCTCACATGTTAGTAAAGTAATGCTCAAAATTCTCCCAGCCAGGCTTCAACAGTACATGAACCATGAACTTCCACATGTTCAAGCTGGATTTAGAAAAGGCAGAGGAACCAGAGATCAAATTGCCAACATCCACTGGATCATCGAAAAAGCAAGAGAATTCCAGAAAAACATTTACTTCTGCTTTAATCACTGTGCAAAAGCCTTTGACTGTGTGGACCATAACAAACTGTGGACAATTCTTCAAGAGATGGGAATACCAGACCACCTGACCTGACTCCTGAGAAACCTGTATGCAGGTCAGGAAGCAACAGTTAGAACTGGACATGGAACAACAGACTAGTTCAAAAGTGGGAAAGGAGTCCATCAAGGCTGTATATTGTCACCCTGCTTATTTAACTTATTTGCAGAGTACATCATGAGAAATGCTGGGCTGGATGAAGCAGAAGCTGGAATCAAGACTGCCAGGAGAAATATCAAAAACCTCAGATATACAGATGACACCACCCTTATGGCAGAAAGTGAAGAACTAAAGAGCCTCTTGATGAAAGTGAAAGAGGAGAGTGAAAAAGTTGGCTTAAAACTCAACACTCAAAAAACTAAGATCATGGTATCTGGTCCCATCACTTCATGGCAAACAGATGAAGAAACAATGGAAACAGTGACAGACTTTATTTTGGGGGACTCCAAAATCACTGCAGATGGTGACTGCAGCCATGAAATTAAAAGACGCTTGCTCCTTGGAAGAAAAGTTATCACCAACCTAGAAAGCATATTAAAAAGCAGAGACATTACTTTGCCAACAAAGGTGCATCTAGTCAAGGCTATGGTTTTTCCAATAGTCATGTAAGGATGTGTTAGGTGGACTATAAAGAAAGTAGAGCACCAAAGTATTGATGCTTTTGAACTTGGTGTTGGAGAAGACTCTTGAGAGTCCCTTGGACTGCAAGGAGATCCAACCAGTCCATCCTAAAGGAGATCAGTCCTGGGTGTTCATTGGAAGGACTGATGCTGAAGATGAAACTCCAATACTTTGGCCACCTCATGCAAAGAACTGACTCATTGGAAAAGACCCTGATGCTGGGAGGGATTGGGGGCAGGAGGAGAAGGGGACGACAGAGGATGAGATAGCTGGATGGCATCACCAACTCAATGTTCACGAGGTTGAGTAAACTCCGGGAGTTGGTGATGGACAGGGAGGCCTGGCGTGCTGCAGTCCATGGGGTTGCAAAGATTCAGGCACAACTAAGCGACTGAACTGAACTGAATTGAACCGTATCCTTTTAAACTTGTCATCCATCAGTCTATAATATTCTAATCCTGACAGATAATTAAAGAATAATTAATTAATTGCTGTACACTAGAACTGGGAATAGTATACCCTTCATTTATCTGTACCTCGTTTACCAAGCGATGATCCAGCAAACAGACAGCCAGTGGATGTCTCAGCAATAATGCTGTATAAGGGGAAAAAACAGTATTACTATCTATGCTATAAATATTCCAATATTACATGCAAATACAACACAGGAGAACAGTGACTATTAAATACACAGAATTAGATCTGGCTAGGATATTGCAAAAGTGAAATTTTTCACACAGAGAGCAACATGATTAGCATTCTCCATCTTCATTAGTATCTTTCAGCACTTCTGACAAGAAGTCACACCAGATTTTGATTCACACACAGGTAAGGAATGGTCTTCCCAGAAATCATTTCATCAGCACTAAGTAAGACCATTTCAGAGGCATGCTATACTGATGATCTTAAATGTAAATATCTTTCTACAGAGATGTTTGGTTTTCTTTTATATCAATAGTTTTCATAATAGTATTATATGCAGAAAATACATTTACTTTAAACTCCTCAATAGAAGCTATGAAAAAGAGTTTAAAAGCTAAATATTCACAAAAGATAGTTTTATTGTTCAAAAATATTAAAGCATTTTTATAACACTTAAATCAATAACTCCTAATGGGAAAATATATAATATTTCTTTTCTAAGTAGACCTTTGATACATCTAATATTTACTTGTAAACTGAATTCACTCTTGAGATATAGAAAAGCAACTGGGAATATTTCTCATAGGATAATCTTCAAAGGCTAACTTCTGATTAGCTTAAACATTTAAGCTCACTATATAAACAGAAAGGCTCTTATAGTATAGTAAAAAGTAAACCATCCTCAGAAAAAAATTCAGAATAAAATTATCATAATTCATCATACTGTTGTTTTAGGTAGGAATGCCCTTAAAAAATATGCCTTAAAACTGCAAATTTTAAAATGACAAACATTTAATTAAAAAAGGCTAAAAAAAAAAAAAAGTATAACTATTTCAGGGTGCTCTCAACCAACATCCAGGAAAAAGTATATTGTCTCACATTATTCCATTTCCATTGCCAAAAGCTTGGTCTTTAGGTTCCTGAACAGGCTGGATGTTAACATACAGATCCCTAATCTCCTTCCTGATGCATCTTACGGCTGCCGCCGCCATATCTTTTGCTACCTATTTTGGTAAGACAGAAAAATAGAATACATTAATAATTATTTTGACAGTTGCGTTCAAGCCTTCAAAGATACAGAATTAAGAATTTTTCCATGCATCATATAACAACTCAATTTTAAAGAGTAAAATAAGCACAGAATTTTAAGAAAAACTTACCATGAAAAGATTTACTTAAAAATTCTCTCAATTAATTTCAAAATTTAGATGATATAATACTTATGAAGACAAACACTTACTTCTACAATCATCTAGACAACTTTATTTTTTGATACCTTATATTTAAAATTTTTATTGGAGTATAGTTGATTTGCAATGTTGTGTTGCTTTATAAAGTGAATCAGACAACTTACTTTAAATGGCAAGACACCAGCAACAAAAGCTCTTCCATATATCTTAGTCACACAGCCACGGTCAGTTAAATTTATTGGGCTCAACTGTTTAACTGGCGACATTCGGACAATCACTTCACCACCTCCCTTTGGGTAGTAGCCCCTATGAAAAGTATAATACATAAACTGACTGCATGACAGAAAAATAAAGCTCAATATTTACAATAAAATAACATGTGAGTAATACCAACCATATAATTAATGTTTCACATTTCTAAATAATGTTTTAGATTTGTACTTTCCCATATGGTAGACTCAGGGTTTGTTGTTGTTTAGTTGCTAAGTCATATCCAACTCTTTGTGACCCTACTGACTGTAGCCCACCAGGCTCCTTAGTCCATGGGATGTCCCAGGCAAGAAAGACTCAAGTTCATGTGACTATTTAACCGATTATTGACCAGAGATATGTTAATCCATCTTTTGTTACCTGAACAGTATTGATCAGAGGCATATCAATTCATTTTAGAGGTGATACAATTAACATCACTGTGTGAAGCTAGCTTAAAATTGATGAAGGGTTCATTATACAACTTATGATGGCTGTTACCATTCACATTTTGCTCCATTAAGCTCTTGTTCCTACCCTATGTATATTATAAATGTAAAATTTTTGAAAATGACATATCACGAAATTTTGAGTGAAAAAATTTTTGGTAAATTTTATGCAGATACTTTCTCTGATTGTCCATGTGACATATACACTAGTGTCTCAGAAGAGGATAGTTCCTCAGGATATAGCTCTGATTCAGACAATGTGAATATCAGAGAAAAGCCAATAAATAACCTTAGTGATTCATTCTGATACAGAAAATGAAAATGAAACTCATGGTGCTGGCAAATGCTCCTTTGCTTCTGCAGAAGAGCAGAGTGAAGACAACATTTCACAAAATCCAGAAGACTTAACAGGTGTCTCAGGTGTAACTACTGAATCCAATAGCCCACGAAATGCTAGTAAAATAACAAAATTAATTTTTGTCCAGCCAAAATAAAAATTGTCAGCCATGGGTGTTCGGTTTCTACAAAAATCCCCTGGTCAATAATGAGCTAAAATTATTTATTTATTTTATTTGCCACACATCAAGGCTTGAGGGGATCTTAGTTCCTCATCCAGGACTGAACCTGTGCCCTCAGCAGTTAAAGTGCAGAGTCCTAACCACTGGACTGCCAGAAAATTCCCCCCTTAATTTAATAAAATTTAAAACTCAGCTCCCCAGTCCAACTAGCCACATTTCAAGTGCTCGACAGTCATGTATAGCAAATGATTATCACCCTGCACAGATAGGGAACAATTCCCTTAGTGCAGAAAATCCTATCCGGGGCCTCCTCTGGTGGTCCAGCGGCTGACTCCGTACTCTCAATGCAGGGGGCCGGGGTTCAGTCCCAGACGGGGAACTAGATCTCACACGCCACACCTAAAAGATCTCACATCCCACAACTGGGACCCGGGACAGCTAAATGAAGAAGAAGGCTCTATTCAACCAGTGCTGTTTTAGAATAAACGCCACTTAATGATAGCAGCTTGTCTATTTTCTTCTTGCTATATTCCAGTGTCCTAAAACAATGCACATTACAGGTGCTCAATAAATACATGATGAATATTTAGTAGCTGACCGATTAATAAAATTTTGACTCACATTATTTACTGTCTTTGTCCAGAAGATGGTAAGAACACACAGATAAGAACGACAACACTCATACCCACAAAGAAGTCCCCATCTGGTAGGATGGGGCTTCACGCGTAACTAGAACACAGGTCATGCTGTGAAGAAGACTAAAACAGAGGTGCAACTATGAATTCCAACGAGGCACAGTCACTGACAATTCACACAAGAAGTTAAGAGTTTCATTTTCAAGACAAACAGAATTTCCACGTTTTAGAAGGGGAAGAGAAACATGAACAAAGGCATGGGAGTCTGAAGGTACAGAGTATATTTAGGCAGTGGCAGCAATCATGTAGTTAGAATACATGGTATGCTGAAAGGAGGGGAGGGAGAATATAGCTAGAAAGGTAAATTGGAATAAGACTGCAAAACACTTAAATGCCACACCAAGAAACGTGGCCTCGTTATTCTGTGGCAGAAGGCAAGCCTTATAAGGGAAATAACCTGAGTGTCCAATGTCTCCTAGGAAAAGAATCCTGGGCGCACTGTGGCAGAGAATCCCTTTTAGGACCCTGCAGCGCCCCACCCCAGTGGCCTGCACACAGTGAGCATTCAGTCTGTGCGGGACACAGATAACTCCACACACGAAGGTGCCTCAATGCAGCCACTCCCTCCAAAAACATTCTGCCAAAAAACGAATATCCAACAGCACGCAGCTGCTTTCAAGTACCCACACCCCTGCTGCTTACTGTTTTAAGCCACAAAATACTATTCTTTCCTCCAAAAAATGTACTAAGTGGATTACAGAAAGACAGTTCTCCAGGATCTAACTTATCCACTACTTTCAGCACAAGTAGTGGGTCAAAGGGTTAAGAAATAAGCACCTTACCTCATTTTAATGTCACAATTAAATGTGAAACCAAATTTCTCAACAATTGGCTTGAAAACCTGAAAAATCAATTTATTGTTACCTTAAACACCAGTATTTACTGATTCAACAAGTATATTTAGTAAACTAATGTGCTCTGTACTGAGGTGATAATGAGGCACAGTAGATAAACAGTGATACAAAAATGTGAAGGCTAATTCTATTTTTTAAATAAAATAACTGACATGCAGCTAAAATTAAAAGTTTAACATTTAACTAATAAGGGCTGTGCAAGCCTATCTAATGAGGAAAAAAAAACAAAACCAGAACTCAGGATTCTTGATCTTTGCAGTTTTACTCCAAAAGCCATTTCCCAACCTTAATATAACGTACTGTAAGAAATCTGGGGTGCTGAAAAGCATTCCATTCTGTTCTCCCAATTGTTTTTATACAGCTGAAATTTCACTGCATATACAATGTTTTATCCTTTTGCCCTCATTTAACATATAAAAGCATTCCCCGACATCATAAAATATTCCTCCTAAAAAACATTTGAATGATTACATGGCAATCCAGCATAATTTATCTAACCATTCTCCAAGTTTTCATTATTGTATAACTATATATATTATATAACAGTAATTATAGTATATAGCACCCTACTCTAATACCTTTAACATTATCTTTTGCTGCATTTTATAATCTTTAATTAGGATCATTTCCTTGAAGTGGAATTACTAGGTGAACAGAGATTAATTTTCATTATATATCCCATCAAACTAAATTTTAAAAGACTATAACATCTACTAAAATGGAAAAAAAAATTAACTAAAAGCTGAGAATATCAAGTGCTGGGAAGAATGAAGAAGAGCTAAAACTCCCCTACAGTGTTGGTGAAAATGCAAAACAATGCAGCCACCTTGGGTGCCAAAACAATCTGGCAGTTTCTCATAAAGTCAGACATATTCTCACTGTTACAACTGAGCAAATCCTAACTATTTACCCAAGAGAAACAAAAACGCATGTCCAGATAAGAAACCTGTATTTACAGTGACTTTACTTTTAACTGCAAAAAACTGGAAATAGTCCAAATGTCCTTCAACTGATAAACAGATAAACAAACATCCATATAATAGAACACTATTTAGCTTTTACTGCTGATATAAGCAACATGGGTAACTCTCAGATGTATTTTTTAATTTATTTTATTGAAGTAGAGCTGATTTACAATGCTGTGTTAATTCCTATTAAACAGCAGTGATTCAGTTATATGTATATCTATACACACACATTCTTTTTCATATTCTTTTCCACTATGATGTATCACAGGATATCAGATATAGTTTCCTGTGCTATACAGTAAAACCTTGCTGTTTATCCATTCTACATATAACAATTAGCATCTGCTAATCCCAAGCTCCCAATCCATCCCTCCTCCACTCTCCTCCCCCTAAACAGATGCTACTATAACTGGAAGAAAAAAAAACAACTCAAAAGACTATATATACAGTATTATTCCTTTATATGACACTCTGAAAAAAGGTAGAACTATGAGACAACAGATCGCCGATTGCCAGGGCCAGAGGGGGTGGGACTGATAGAAAGAGGGGTAAGGGAATTTTTTACAGTAATTCTTTATCATCATTGTGGTGGCAGGTTCACAACTAGACATCAGAAATTAAAGAACCTCACACTACAAAGGGTGAGTTCTAGTATAAATAACTACACCTTAATAAACCTAGGGAAAAATGATATCACCTTTCCCTCCCACAAGTTATATAAGCATGCCAATATTGAATTTTACTTTCTAAAAATTCATAATCAAAATATGGTAGTTTTTTTTAAAAAATTTTTTTATTGTGGTAAGAACATTTAACCTGAGATCTTACTCTCTCAGTACATTTTTAAGAGTACAACATAATACTGTTGACAAAACTTACAATGTGTACAACAGATCTCAGTGTATTCATCTTACTTAACTAAAAATTTATCCATGTTGATTATTAACTCCCCAGTTTCCCTCTTCCACTAGTAAACATTCCATTCTTTGAGGCCATAACTTAACTTCTTTTGATACTTTATATAAGTGGAATCATGTCAGTACTGTCTCTATCTGACTGGCTCATTTCACATAGCACAACATCCACAAGGTTCTACTGTGCTGTCACATAATCTAGAATTTCTTTTTTAATGCTAAATAGTCATCCATTGTACATATATAACACATTTTTTTTTAGTTCTAATAATACTTTATTTACAAGGACAAGTAATGGGCCAGACAGACAGACAGATAAATAGGGATAAAGCTATATACATGGATGTATAAAAATAGTAAATGTATAGATAGAAAATCTGTTGAAGAAAATTTAAAGAAATAAACTATTAACAGTGGCTACTACCTTCAGAGACTATCTTACAGTGTGCATACTTCTTTAAATATATTTTTCTAATATGTTTTCTGTATACTTCATTTTTTATATTCTTTCATTTGTCAATGGACATTTAGGCTGGTTCCACATCTTGGCTTTTATGAATAGTGTTGCAATGAACATGGGAATGCTAATATCTCTTGGAGATCCTGATTTCAACTCTTTTGGATAATACCTAGTGGGACTGCTGGATTATATGGCAGTTTTCTTTTTAATATTTTGAGGAACCTCCATGCTGTTTTCCAGGATGGCTGCACCATTTTGTATTCCCATCAACAGTGTGCAAAGGTTCCAATTTCTTCATATCCTCACCAATCCTGTCAAACATAGCATTTGATTCTTATTTTGAGTTTTTCTTCCAAATCATAATCCCTGTATTCAGGAAATAATTTATATGATAAGTAATATATGGTATATGCATTATAAATAATCTAATGTACATGAGGTTTTAAGAATTCACTATGAGCACCATTCTAAGGTACAACACACAATTTAAAATAATTATCCTGTCCCACAATAGAACCAGACCCCATTAGGAAATAAAGAGGTATGTACACAAAAACACTCAGGATGTATTTAAACAGAGAATGGAGTTTAAGAAGACTATATGAGATCCTCTAAGTCGGTCAGTAGCAACAAAAGCTCTTACCATGGCTGTGTAATCAATCTGTGGGGCCATTTCGGCATTAGTCCCACCTTTCAAACGGAGTTCTGACGGACAAGCAGCAAAGAGAACACAGGGCATTGAGACCTGCATCAAGAGGCATACACTCCTAAGGGGAAGGCAGAACAGGCTTAGCTGCGTTTTCATTTTAAAGTCTCAGGAAAGAGACATTACTACATATCACCACAAGCTGAAGCACAGACAACTGACAGGCTCTCAACTTTAAAGCTAAAAAACACTCCCATTGACTGAATGGTAACATCCTAAACCTTAAAGAAAGCTTGGTATTTCACAATAGAAGGAACTGGCCTTAATAAACAAATCTGGGTTTGAATCCAATACTAAATACATGAGTTGTATGACCTTTGTTGCTGTTTAGTTGCTAAGACATGTCTGACTCTTTCGCAACTCCATGGACTGTTAGCCCAGCAGGTTCTTCTTGTCCCAGGCAAGAATACTGGAGCGGTTGCCAGCTCCTTCTCCCAGGGATCTTTCCCTCCCAGGGACTGGTCCTGTGTCTCCTGCATTGCAGGTGGATTCCTCACTGAGCCACTACGGAAGCCCTCTGTGTGATCGCAGGTTAAGTTCTAATACTTTTGTCTATCTTCCAAAGACGTTAGAAAGAATTAAAAATAAAAGCATCTTTACAACGTTTTTATAAAAGGATTCTTAAAGGTAACACTTTATGAAACTGCATTCAAAACTGTCAAGGTCTGCAAATATTCTAATGACTGTACCTAAGTCTCCATCATGCACAAGGCATCATTCCATACATTAAGATAGAGTTCCTACCATCATGGCATTTGTGATAAGACAGAGTAATATTTTTACAAGGACTGATAGCCAAATATTTCACATCGAAAAAACTTTTCAGGAGATAATCCTTGCTACAACTCAACTCTGTCTGGTTCTTGAAAGTGAAGTGAAAATCACTCTGTCACGTCCAACTCTTTGGACTGTAGCCCACCAGGCTCTTCTGTCCATGAAATTCTCTAGGCAAGAATACTGGAGTGGTTTGCCATTTCCTCCTCCAGGGGATCTTCCCAACCCAAGGATCGAACCCAGGTCTCCCACATAGTAGGCAGACTCTTTACCAACTGAGCCACCAGGGCAGCTACTACTTGGTCCTTAGAGTCAAATAATGTGAGAAATCACAAGAAATAATTATAGAATATGTAGCATTTTACGAAACAAAATGGTCATATTTCCTAAAAGAGCTGTCACCTCCCTTCTCCAAAGTCAGCAGAAAACAATCCCATTAATTAATCTAGTTAATCCTATTAATTAATGCATAGTTTGAAAGGGAATGCCAACACAGCCTCTACATACCAAAGTGAAGTGAAGTCGCTCTGACTTCTTTGCGACCACATGGACTGTAGCCTACCAGGCTCCTGCATCCATGGGATTTTCCAAGCAAGAGTACTGGAACGGGTTGCCATTTCCTTCTCCACTACACACCAAAGGATAGCCTTTATTTAACTGTCCTATGGGAATGATGCATGGGTACTGAATTATACAGTCTCTATCACTGATATTGTATTCTATTAACTCAGTAAATATTTAACACTGCGTAATGTTAGGCACAGTAAGAGAAATTGCATACAATATAATCTCTCTTCTTAGGAGTTAAGCCTAGGGCCAAGTGAAAAAGACTTGGAAACGTTCAGTTTACCATAAACCATAGGTTTACAACTGCTGAACTTGTGTTTACACCCTTTGAGAAACCCAATACAGTTAAAGTGTTTCTCTTCCACCTAACAAAATCAGAGTCTAAGAAGAGTAAAGAAAACCTTAATTTTAAAAAAGTATGGAATTGCAAGGGATTCCCAGGTGGCTCAGTGGTAAGGAATCTGCCTGCCAATGCAGAAGACACAGGTTTAATCTCTAGGTAGGGAAGATCCCCTGGAAGAGGAAATGGCAACCCACTCCAGTACTCTGGCCTGGGGCATCCCATGGACAGAGGAGCCCGGTGGGCTACAGTCCACAGGTTTGCAAAGAGTTGGACATGACTGAGTGACTAAGCACACACAGACAAGGAATTGCAAAGACAAAGGTAGACATTTGAGAAAACACAGTCCTATAATCACAATTAGGGATGAAAATGCTATGATTCTCTTAAGTAAGATGCGTCTTGTTGCTAGGAATAAGCTTGTTTTAGTCTATTAAATGAAATTGGATTATCAATTTTAAACTTATTTCTCATACATTCTAGTGGATTAGAAGCCAGAAAGTCTAGATTCTAATTCTAGTTCTGACCCTGACTCTATGACCTCTGAGTCTTCATTTTCTCATTCACGAAGTAAAGGGAGGGTTGGAACACAGGGTTTCTGTCTTCTTCTCTACAGCTTCAAAATTCTATGATTCTGTGTGAGTTAATTTTTAGATAGGTGGTTAACTATAACTTTCCGCTCTTTTTGTACAAGAGAATGCCCGAAATAAGAAAGATACTTCAGTTCAGTCGCTCAGTCGTGTCCAACTGGTAGCGACCCCATGGACTGCAGCACACCAGGCCTCTCTGTCCATCACCAACTCCCGGAGTTTACCCGAACTCATGTCCATTAAGTCAGTGATGCCATCCAGCCATCTCGACCTCTGTCATCCCCTTCTCCTCCTGCCTTCAATCTTTCCCAGCATCAGGGTCTTTTCAAATGAGTCAGCTCTTCGCATCAGATGGGTAAACTATTGGAGTTTCAACTTCAATATCAGTCCTTCCAATGAATACTCAGGACTTATCTCCTTTAGGATGGACTGGTTGGATCTCCTTGCAGTCCAAGGGATTTTCAAGAGTCTTCTCCAACACCACAGTTCAAAAGCATCAATTCTTTGGTGCTCAGCTTTCTTTATAGTCCAACTCTCACATCCAAACACGACTACTGGAAAAACCATAGCTTTGACTAGATGGACCTTTGTTGGTAAAGTAACGTCTCTGCTTTTTAATATGCTGTCTAGGTTGGTAGTAACTTTCCTGCCAAGGAGTAAGCGTCTTTTAATTTCATGGCTGCAGTCACCATCTGCAGTGATTCTGAAGCTCAAAAAAATAAAGATACTTCAAAATGCTTTAATCCCCTTAAAAAAGTTATCATTTGGCAAACTTCACCTGAGGCCTACGAGAGGCGTTTTTTTAACATAAATCTATTCACATCATAACTGAAATCTCAATTGTCACTAAACATTTCCTTAAGCTAAAAAAATCATAATCTATTGAAACAGTCATTACTGAAACAAACTGGCATCATGTTTACTATAGTATTCCTTATTTTATCAAATTTCCTAGTAAATGTATAAGATTTTGGTAAAAAGATGCTGCTTACAATAGCCATCAGCCAATAATGTAGAAAACACAAAAACTGTTCTCTCTGTTTTATCAATAAAAGGAGAGATTCTTGGAAAAGGATAAAGGCTCAACTTAATTGTTAAATATCCATTTTTCAATGAGGATAAAAGGATCATATACAAAAATTTCTATATATAGTTGCATAAGTCTCTATGTAAAGAGGACAAAAATACCTAGACTAAAAGTAAAATACGGTTCATAATTAGCTGCAAGTCAAGAACCAAACCAAGCTGCAAGTCATACAAAGCATGAAACTACAGCTGCTTTCAGATATTCATTTTCTAAGTAATAAAAACTAAAGAAACAAATATGCTATACTATACATGAGGGAAGATGTATAGATGGGGAAACAGTGACAGACTCCATTTTCTTGGGCTCCAAAATCACTGTGGATGGTTGACTGCAATCATAAAATTGAAAGTCACTTGCTTCTTGCAAGAAAAACTATAACCAACCTGGATAGCACATTAAAAAGCAGAGACATAACTTGCCCAACAAAGGTCTGTATAGTCAAAGCTGTGATTTTTCCAGTAGTCATGTATGGATGTGAGGGTTGGACTATAAGGAAAGCTGAGCGCCGAAGACTTGATGCTTTTGAACTGTGGTGTTGGAGAAGACTCTTGAGAGTCCTTTTGGACTCCAAAGAGATCAAATCAGTCAATCCCAAAGGAAATCAACCCTGAATGTTCACTGGAAGGACTGATGCTATTTTGGCCACCTGATGTGAAGAACTGACTCACTGCAAAAGCCCTGATGCTGGGAAAGATTGAAGGCAGGAGAAGTGAATGACAGAGGATGAGATGGCTGGATGGCATCACTGACTCGATGGACATGAGTTTGAGTAAACTCCAGGAGTTGGTGATGGACAAGGAAGCCTAGGGTGCTGCCATCCACGGGGGTTGCAAAGCGTCAGACATGACTGATCGACTGAACTGATACATGAGAGAAAATTCTAGATAGGTGCAGTAATAGCTACAGTAATAGCCACAATTAATAAGCAATTAGGTATTTGAAACTTTACACGGCATCTTTAACTCTGAAATGTGTTTTACGTTCATTTTAAAAGTGAGGAAACCAAGCTTCAAAGAGGTTAAGCAACTTGCCCAAGAAGTGGTAGTACCTATATCTGCATCTAGGCCTAATTCTAAAACCCAGTCAAATGGAATGTAGGTGACACATACCCTGCTGTCTTGGTATCTGCTGTGTGGACTCCACCTTTGATCTTCTCTGGTGTAAACGTTATTTCTGTTGAGCCGATTTCTGCCCCCTCCAGTTGCCCATCACACAAATCTCGAATCATTTCCAATCCAGATAAATGTTGAGGCCTTCAGGTCATAATACTGCATCAAAACGTGTGCATTCAGACTGCCTATATCCCCACACTTTATGACACATTTATAAAACTGCAATGGCAAGAAAACAGCAAGGTCTAACTGCAGTAAGTGCTAGACTTTCTTTCTGGCTTTTTAGGCACCCGGACTAACTGCTGGTAGGTATCTTTTTAAAGGTTCCTTCCACATGTTACCTTAACTGTAAACACATATGCTGATAATATTGTTGCAAATTAGAAGCATGCAAAAGAGGAAAACTAATAAAACCACCCTAGTGCCATCAGTCTCACTTGCCCTCACTGAGTAATCTACATACCTGTTATGGGCTGAACTGTGTTCCTCTAAATTTCATATGCTGAAGTACCTCACAATGTGACTGTATTTGGAAATAGGGCCTTTAAAGAGCTGATTAAGTTAAAAGAGGCAGTCAGAGTGAGCCCCAGCCCATTCTCACTGGTGTCCTTACAAAAAGAGAAGATTTAGACACACCAGGGGGGCATATGTACAGAGGCATGAACAGGGGAAGAGGCTGATTATATTCAAGTCAAGGAGAGAGGCCTGGAACAGAATCTTCCCTCTTGTCCCTCAGAGAAAACCAACCCTACGAGCACCTTCATCTTGGACTTCCAGGCTCCAAAACTGCAAAAATCAATTTTCGGTTGTTTACGCCACATAGTCTGTGGTATTCTGTTATTGCAGCCCTAGCAAAGTAATAAAGTACCTAATACAGCCTTAATGAATTAATTTCCCTATTGATGAAATGGGTTACTGCAAACTACTGCCATGACTAAGAGAACTACTGTTCACACATATCAGTAACTGCCTTTTAATAATTTCAAAATGGAGTCTGGATAAAAAACTAAGAGACGGCTGATCCATTAGAATGAAATATCTACAAAGTACAAGTACAAAGGAATCAGTTTGGCTTCACCATGACTTAAACTAGTGCTATGCCTAGCTTCCAGATGACAGATGAAACCGGTCAACTGTCAACATTTTCTCTTCACAACCGATAATCCTGGTCCTATCCACAGCTTCCTAGAGGTCTGAATGAAAGCTGGAATGACGGCATCTCAGGCTCCTTATAAGACTAAAACGTGTGAACGCAGAGAAAGGCCCGGTTTAAAACAGCGGAATTTTTGTTTGGCCACAGAGGCTGTTCTGCCCTGATCTACCTTGCCCGCTGGTAAGAACTTTCCGAGTACTTGTAATGACCGATGAGGTGGGAAACATTTCAAATTATAACTCATCAGGAAACGAGACAACTTTAGCTAAAGAGAAAACACGGACCTATTTCCTGAACTTGCTCCGTGAGGCTTTCAAAAGCACCCAAGCCCGGTTACCGAGGCCACAGCACCATCCCCGGGCGGCAAGGTCCTCAATCCTAGGGCGGGGATCTTAGCATCGCCATCGAGCTCTTGATTCTCAGCTTCCTGCCGCCTGCCCCCCAGCAACGGCCTGTTCCCCGTCCCCCACCCTCCAGTCCCTCGGCCTATCCCCTCCTCTCCCCCAGTCCCTAGCCCGGCGCCAGCCCCCCACCCTCTAGTCCCACGGCCCGTCCCCTCTTCTCCCCCAGTCCCCAGGCCGGCGCACCCACCCACCCTCTAGTCCCACGACCAGACTCCCCGGCGCCCCGACTTACCTGAGGCCCGGCGTGCTACGGCCGGCTCGGATCTTCTGCACCCGCAAAGGGAGGCCCAGCAGACAGCTCAGGGCCGTGGACACCCTCAGGATCTGCCCGCCCTGGTGCCGAGAGAGGAGAGAGATTAGACCCGCAAGCTCTCCGCCGCAGCCCGTGCGGCAGCCGCACCCCGCCAGGCCTCGTGCTCGGCACTCACCCCTTCCATAATGCCGCCGTCCACCTCCACCCGCGGCCCCGCCATGGGGAGCGTGCTGGGGCCCGGCCCCCCGCGACGTAGGCTCGGCCCGAACGGGAGAAAGAGGATACGAGGACTCCGGCCCCGCAGCTCCGGAGCCCGAGTCCTCGCTCCCTGCTCGGGCCCGCCGGGCTCTGCGGAAAAGCAGAGGACGCGCCGGCTCGGGGAACGCCCAACTCCGCAGACACGAAACCGGACGCACGGCGCCCAAAAGCCGAGTTCTTCAGGCCCACAACCAGTGCGCGTGCGCGCCGCGCGCCGCTTAAAGAGGCGGCGCCCAGAAAATTCCGACAAATCGGAAGCTCTCCGGCCGAAGGGGTGGTGGCTAGGGAGGTGCTCCGGTGCATCTCAGGAAATCTGTCCCTAGTAGACTTGCACCCTGAACACAGGAGAAGGCTCAGATTGCAGAAAGCTTCCCTTTCACCTCTAGTCGTCTTCTCCAGTTGTCTCGCAAACTTGTGCAAATATCTGTGTTTATCACTGTTTTCTCGGGGATCCTGCCGTACCAAAACTGGAGACTCTTAAAACTGAAGAGTAGGAAAGTCCCTGCGATGCACTGACCACCTTGTCTCTGGTCGGGTTTGCCTTCTCTGCAGCCTGGCCCTTGAAATGTGTTTCCCTGGCGCATTGATGATACCCATGAGCCTCTCGTTCTTCACCGGCGTCTGTTTCTGTGCGCGCGCTCGTGTAGAATATTATCATCTTTTTTTTCTCCTGTGAGACACCAATTCTTTGGGGATGAGTGGAAAAGGACAGAGTCAGAATAAGTAGTATAATTCTCAAAAAGCCCAAGTTACGCCACGTTGTCGGAGAAAGAGTCCAACCTCATGGCTGTAATGAACAGTGCAACTAACGTAATTCACCAAAGGCCAGGACAGAAAGGACAACAAGCTTCTTGATTCCGCTTGTGGTTCAATGCCTACATTAATTGAGTACCAAATCATGTGCAAGCCTTTCTGTGTAAGCAAAGGAGAGTAAGGTATTCTCTGCCCGAAAATATTGGAAGTACATGGGAGAGACTGAGAAGTAAGCAATTATGATGTCAATTTTCTTAATGATAAAAATATACTGTACCTATCTTACAGTTAAGAGGGAGCAGCAATTAGAATATGACAAATCATACAGATAACAGCCAACATTTATTGAGCATTTGGCCTCTGCATGCTTGCACAACCTGCTAAAATATTTACTGTTTTCACTCTGATTTACAGCTGCATGTGTTAAACAATTTGCTGCAAGGCTACACAGTTGTTAACGAATACTGGGATATAAACTTCTGTGGTTTGATGTGAACATCATTTTCTCCTAATCCCAATGTTCTATCATTGTTGTAACAGGGAAAGCTCTGGGAATGCATATACTTTACCCAATCTCTGGTACCAAAACCAGACAAAGATGACAGCAAGAAGAAAAAGTATAAGCCAATTTTATTTATAAATTTAGATGCATCCTGATCAATCAAAATATTAACAAATAACTCCAACAATGTTTATAAAATACTGTATATTATGACCAAATTGAGATTGATTATCATTCTAACATTAGAAAAATGTCATGATGATATATCAAAAACCTAAGATCACATTAAAGATGAAGAAAAAGCATTTAAAAAAAATCAAGACCTATTTATGATTTAACAAAATCCAACAAAACTAGAAATGAATGTAAACTCCCTTAACCTAATTAAGGATATCTCGAAAACCCTACAGAAAATTTCTTTCTTAATAACAGTAAATAATAGTAAAATGTAAGACATCTATTCAAGTTAAAACAAGATAAGAATGTCCACAATTATGGCTTGTTAAGCCATAGTTTCAAAGATGATGGGAGTCTAACCAGGTTCTACAAGAAAGAAATGAAAGACACAAGATTGAACAGACAAAAAAAGCACCATCATTATTCTTAGATGATATTATTACCTACAAATAAAACCCTGAAGAATCTTTAGCTATATTATTGAAAATATAGTTTCAATAAGATTCCATCAAATGCCCACCAGGACTTTTTAAAAGCCTGACAAGCCAATTCTAAAGTTTCTATGAAAGTACAAAAGGGCAAGAATAACTTAAAAAGACTGAGGTGAAGGATACTTGTCCTCTCAAAACCCAGAATTTCTATAAAGGGAAAGTTAGAGGGAAAAGGTAGTATAGGGACTCCAGGAAGAAAAATAATTCATTTCAAAGGCACATTTACTTAATCTTTTTTTTTTTTTCAAATCTAAATATTTTATTATATACTTACACCCCAAATTGTATTTTTGCTATATACTTTTAACTTGAGGACATCTGTAAAATCAGTACATTACAGAAATCCTGAAATTCCACTAGCTATAAGCTATTTAAATACTGCTTATACAAGGTATTTGGAGGGGGCGGGGTGGACAAAAGCTTATTTACACATTCACTTTGCTGTATTTACTTAATCTTTTTATACAAACACATGCATGGAGTATTATGAAACATATTATTAGTGTCTATAAAATGTTGTTAGCCAGTCAGTTCAGTGCAGTCAGTTGTGTCTAACTCTTTGTGACCCCATAGACTGCAGCATGCCAGGCTTCCCTGTCTATCACCAACTCCCAAAGCTTGCTCAAACTTATGTCCATCGAGTCAGTGATGCCATCCAACCATCTCATCCTCTGTCATCCCCTTCTCCTCCTGCCTTTTATCTTTCCCAGCATCAGGGTCTTTTCCAATAAGTCAGTTCTTCACATCAGGTGGCCAAAGTATCAGAGCTTCAGCTGCAGCAGCAGTCCTTCCAATGAATATTCAGGACTGATTTCCTTTTGGATAGACTCGTTGGACCTCCTTACAGTCCAAGGGACTCTCGAGAGTCTTCTCCAACACCACAGTTCAAAAGCATCAATTCTTTGGCATTTAGCTTTCTTTATGGTCCAACTCTCCCATCCATACATGACTACTGCAAAAATCATAGGTTTGACTAGATGGAACTTTGTTGGCAAAAGAATGTCTCTTCTTTTTAATATGCTGTCCATGTGGTCAGAGCTTTTCTTCCAAGGAGCAAGTGTCTTTTAAATTCATGGCTACAGTCACCATCTGCAGTCATTTTGGATGCCCCCCCCCCCACAATATAAAGTCACTTGGTCCTTGGAAGAAAAGCTATGACCAACCTAGACAGCATATTAAAAAGCAGAGACATTACTTTGCCAACAAAGGTCCATCTAGTCAAAGCTATGGTTTTTCCAGTAGTCATGTATGGATGTAAGAGTTGGACTAAAAAAAAGCTGAGCACCGAAGAATTGATGCTTTTGAACTGTAGTATTGGAGAAGACTCTTGAGATGGACTGCAAGGAGGTCCAACCAGTCAGTCCTAAAGGAAAATAAGTCCTGAATATTCATTGGAAGGACTGATGATGAAGCTGAAACTCCAGTACTTTAGCCACCTTATAGGAAGTATGGTTGGATGGCATCACCGACAGGATGGACAGGAGTTTGAGTGAGCTTCGGGAGTTGGTGATAGACAGGGAAGCCTGGAGTGCTGTAGTCCATGGGATTGCAAAGAGTTGGACATGAGTGAGCGACTGAACTGCACTGAAAAAGTCTCTCACTGTTTTCACTGTTTCCCCATCTATTTGCCATGAAGTGATGGGACCAGATGCCATGATCTTAGTTTTCTGAATATTGAGTTTTAAGCCAACTTTTTCACTCTCCTCTTTCACTTTCATCAAGAGGCTCTTTAGTTTTATTAGGGGAAAAGCTAAAACAAAAAAATCAAAGTTCTTTGGCTATCCCAGATTTTCTAATAAAGTAAATGATTTAGATTTATTTCTTACAGTTGTGTGTGTGTAAGAACTATACTGAAAGGCTCATAAGGCAAAATTGAAAGTGTGAGTTTGAGTAATATAGATACTTATAGATACTGAATTTGTGAAGTACCTAAGATTTTGTTTTACAGTCACTAATCTTCAGCGTTGAGATTTACGATTTTGTCTTTGTTGTGTTTTTTTCTCTGTAATGCTGTAAACATCTGTCCAGATTATCTTTCCCATGTAAGAGGACGAAAAGACAAATATCATCCTGGACATTTCTAGAAACTGATTTCCTAGTTGCTGTGAAAAGGACTGACCGTTAAAGCTCTGATCTTGTCTTTACTGTTTCCACTGAGCTCAATTTGACATTTCTACCAGAGGCAAATAATTCAAGGTAGTGTCTGTGACATATATTGCATATACTGGGCAGCTATATCTGTCAAATACCCTAAGAAGGAAAGCTAATGTTGATGACATTTATCTTCGATATAGTAACCTTGTTCACCTTCCATTAAAAAAAAAAAGCCACTTTCGGTAACCAAGAACACAGTGCCAGTAGAAAAATGCCAGTTATTAGGAAGTATTCTGGTATAGACCTGATTCAACTTGCTTCCCCGGTAGCTCAGTCGGTAAAGAGTCTGCCTGCAGTGCAGGAGACCTGTGTTCTATCCTAGGTAGGGAAGATGCCCTGGAAAAGGAAATAGCAAACCACTCCAGTGTCCTTGCCTGGAAAATCCCATCGGTAGAGGAGCCTGGTGGGCTGCAGTCCATGGGATCACAAAGAGTCGGGCACGACTGAACGACTAACACTTCCTTCTACAGTCTGTATAGAAATGTCCCGTTTTCTGTAATCAAGCGGTTACAATACGAGCTGAAGGAAGGTTTGTTTCCTACTTAACTCTTCCGATCTTTCTCCTTCCTTTACGTTTCCTTAACACACTCTGTCTCCCCGACTTGGGCTGAAAAGATGATCGTCGTGGGCGGATAAGTACTTGCACAGCAGTGCTCCACCCAACTTTGTCCCTGAAATGAGATCTGGGACGGCCCGATCCCCACCTCGCTCCCCTCCCCCTCCGCAGGGCCCGCCCCCTGCGGGTGTGTGAGCTCAGCCCCGCCCCGCTCCCTGGTTGGCTGTCAGGTGGGGGCGCGCCTCCCCGCCCCCTCTGTCTGTCCCCGGCCGAGGCCGCTCCTCCAACCTCTGAGCACTTGTCATTTCCGGAGGAAGATGGCTGCTGCGCGTGTGCTGAGGACCTGGAGCCGGACTGCGAGGCAGTTGGTAAGCAGGTTGGGCCGATCTGGGGTCGGGACGGAGTGGTTTATCTGGAGTTGCCTGGGAGAGATGATTTGGTTTTTCCTCCGAGTGCCTCGCGTACAGGGCTCGCGTGATGGGGAGGTAGAGGGATGTCTGCAAAACGAAGGGCAGCGACGGTGGCTAACCAACCTGTTTGGAAACCCATGCTCTCGATCTATTCCAGGGTGCCCATCTGTCGTGACTCTCCTCCCTGCCGCTTCATCTGCGCCCCAAAGCCCAGCTGGTCTTTCGCCCAATAGCTTTTCGTTGAGCACCATCTGGGTAGCGGGCATTGTGTTTGGCACTGGGGATACTGAAATATATATACTATATCCGTCAAACATTTATTGAGCACCACTTTGTTTCACAACTGATAATACGACCCCTCTCCTCGATGAATTTACAATCTAGAGGAAGATACTGGGCAAGAAAAGCATAACACCATAGGTCCTTGCCTCCGGGCATCTGGGAGGCTCGTTTCCTTCTTTGGACTTAGACTTGTCTCCCACATTTGCACCAGTATCTTTCCAACCTTTTAAATCACCAGAACTACGACCCACCATTTCCCCTTCATTTCTCCCCTTTCATACAGTCTTTTAGCACCAAACAATTAACATCCCAGTAATCGTAGTGTTTCATCCTATTTTCATAGCGTTTTTGTTTTTATTTCTTCCTGGGTCCCCTGTTCCGGATTTTCCTACAGCGTTTGATCCCTGATCTTACAAAAACCTTTCAAAAGCCTGCTCTATACCAGGTACCAGGAATTGGAGATGGAAATATGTATAAACAAGACCCTGATCTCTGCCCTCTCGGTTTAATTACAGCTTTGTGGTGGGGCATAAGGGAGAGAGAGGTAGACATTAGACAAATTACAGCACTGCGTGAAACGATGGCGCAAGTACATAGAACTACAGGAACACGTAGAAGGGGTCTTGGGGGTCAACGAGTTTCGCAATGGATAGTGTATAGTGTGAGATTTGTGACAGCTAATTAGGCGATAAGGCTTCCCAGGTGGCACCGTGTTTTAACAAATCCTCCTGCCAATGCAGGAGACTTTGAAGGGTCGGTCCCTGGGTGGTAAGGATCCCCTGGAGGAGGAAAATGGCAGCCCACTCCAGCATTCTTGCCTGGAGAATCCCATGGGCAGAGGAGCCTGGCGGGCTCCAGTCCATGTCGTTGCAAAGGGCTGGATGTGAATGAGCACAGACACAAGAAGGAGGTAATCAGGAGAAATAAGTTCTTTGCAGCATCTCACTAGATTCTCTTTTGAAAGTTCTTCATCCTGGGCTTCTGTGACAGCAGCTTCCCAGTATTCTTCCTACGTCTCTGAACACTTCGTCCCAGTCTTCTCCGCTTTCCCTGATCAGCTTTTAACCACTGATGTTTCTCAGGCTTGTGACTTTGGTCATCTGTGTACTTCTGTTTATATGCTGTGATTCCCCAGTCTTCCAGCCAGCTCTGCTGCAGACCCATATATCTTACTGCCCTGAAAATCTCCAAATTTCTTGTATTTCAGGTATTTTTCAGCTATAGGTAATAAACCCAACCAGTAAATGGGAAATTATCTGTGTATACAAAGCATCTGAAAGTTAGATGGCAGCTGGGATTGATTAAGTGGCTCATCATTATCAGGGCTCTACAACTTTGTATTCAGGGCAGAAAGGAGGAGGGGATGGTACCAGCTAGATTCATTGGTTAGTGATATAACTTGGCCACTGCTACCCCAAGAGAGTTTGGAAGGGCTAGCCTTTAGCTGTTTCACAGTGATTGCTATAATGCCTATAAGATACATCAGACTCTAGACTCCAGAACTAAGTCCTCAAACCTGTTTCTTCTAGCCTAGAAGTCTCTCAAAAATCTAGTCATTGTTCTACACCTTGTCGCCAGCCGCAGGTATCCTGGACCTTCCTCAATTGGACTTTCTGCCTCTAATGTAATTCTCCTACCTATTCTCCGTAGCATGGCCAGAGTCATTTTATAAAGAAGGATATAAATTTGAGTGTCATTGCCTTGCTTAAAACTGCTCTCAGCAAAATATTCAGAATTCAAATGACTATGAAGCTATTTATGATCTGAATATTTCCAATCTCTCCAGGCTTTATTCCTTTCTAAAACCCACCTAAAACCCACTCTTGAAGCGTCACCCTTAGCTCATAGTAAGCTATGCTAGAATACTGAACAATTTCAGTTAATTAAGCACACTGTTCTCCCTTCCTCTCTCTCCCCCAGACCTTTGCACATGTATTTCCTGTTTTAAAGACCCTTGCCTTACTTCCCTATAGCCTTCTCGGCAACACATTTTACTCCTTGGCTGACTCCTACTCATCCCTTAGGTCTTACCTCACTTTCTCCAGGTAGGTTTTCTCCTTTGTGTCTTCTTAACACTACTTCTCCCATTATGACACTGTTGTAATCACCAGTAGTCCTGTTTTTATCTTTCACAATGTGGGCTACACATTCCATAAGAGAAGGAATCACAGCAATTTTGTTCTCTGATCCTAACTGATTGACACATAGTAGGTACTCAGTGAACCTTTGTTGAACTACTTATTAAAAAGTCTGTTTTTTTCCATGTGTTATTTAAAAAATCATAAGCAGCAAGAGGTCTTATCACCTACAGTAAATTATTAAGAAAGCCTTATTATATTATATTTATACTTTCCTATGGCATCATGCATTTGACTTTTGATTACTTATCCTATCATCCTGAATTTATCTATTTTGTCTGTCTTCCTGCAGTAAAGTGTAAACAATTTTAATTCAGAGACTCTTCTATTTCTTATTTAGCTTTGAATTCATGAGTGAAGAATAATTCTGTCTTTACAGTGTGCTCAACAACTGCCTGATTAATTACTACTAATTTATTTCCTTATTATGGGAGTCTGCTAAATCCTCTTTTCATTACTCTTTATTATTTGGTGTGTTGCTTGTAGAAAAAAAGTCTTTCCTGTTTGAAATTTTTTTTCTCTTTCTCCCTTCCTTTTTATCCTTTTAGTCAGCAGCTTCACTAATGTGTTTTAGCTTTCTCTTAATAGACATCCAATTGCTAGTAATCATTTTGCATTTATGTTGCTTTCTTTCTTTTTCCACTCATCATCTCAGCCAGGAGCCTGTGGTTTCATGTCTCAAATACAATAATAGTTTCTTAACTTTGTCCTTTCTCTTTAGGCATTGTTGTTAGTATTGTTTAGTCACGAAGACTCTTTTACGATCCCATGGACTGTAGCTCACCATGCTCCTCTGTCCATGGGATTTCCCAGATAAGAATTCTAGAGTGAGTTTCCATTTCCTTCTCCAGAGGATCTTCCCAGCCCAGGGATGAAACCCACATTTCCTGCACTGGCAGGTGGATTCTGTACCACTGAGCCAACAGAGAAGCCCCTTCAGGCTTCACTGTTATTATCTAATAAACACATATACACATACATACTCACAATAACCCATAATGTATGATTTCAAACTCCTTGACCTGACATTTCCAGTCGTCAACAATTTGGTCCTTGAGTTCCTTCCTCTGCTCCATTTGATAAATTTGATCAAGCCATATCATACAACTCTGCATTTAAAAATGGACAAAATTGAATAGACATATTTCCAAAGAAGAAATGTAGATGGTCAACAGGCACATGAAAAGATGCTCAACATTGCTAATCATCAGGGAAATGCAAAGTAAAACCACACTGGGATATCATAACACCTCACACCTGTCAAAATGGCTATCATCAAAGAGAACACAAAAAACAAATGTTGGCAAGGATGTGGAGAAAAGGGAACCCTCATACACTATTGGTATGAATGTAAATTGGTGCAGCCACTGTGGAAAACAGTAGGGAAGTTTGTCAAAAAAAACTGAAAATAGAACTACCGTATTACCCAGCAGTGCCACTCCTGGGTACATATCTGAAAAAAGAAAACACTAATTTGAAAAGGTACATATACTGTAATATTCATAGCAACATTTTTATAATTTCTAAGATATGGAAGCAACCTAAGTGTCTGTCCACAGATGAATGGTTCGAGAAGATATGAGACACTACTCAGCTATAGAAAAGAATGAAAATTTTGCCATTTGCAACAACATGGATGGACTTGAAAAGCATTATGCTAAGTGAAATAAGTCAGAGAAAAAAAGGTACTATGTGATATTTCTTATGTGTAGAATCTAAAAAATATGATAAACTAGCGAACAGGACAAAGAAGAAGGAGACTTGAAGATACAGAGAACAAGGCAGTGGTTTCCAGTGGGAGGGAGGGCAACTTAGGGTAGGGGTATGGAAAATATAAGATGGGTTCAAGGATGTATTCTACAAAGTGGGGAATATAGCCAAAACTTTGTGATAATTTTAAACAAACTGTAATATTTTAAAATTGTATAAAAATGTTAAAAAGTGTGATGTAGTTAATCAGGGATTTCCTGGGTAAGAATACTGGAGTGCATTGCCATGACATTTCATATCATGAAAATGTTAACTTTCAAAAAAATACTATACCTTTTACACACTTAGATTATATATATCAAATATGTATATGATTTATCAAATGAGATACATTCAGCCCGACTTTGGTTATTTTTCTGTAACATTGTATTATACCATGATTTTATATAAAATAGTTAAATTTAATCTATGAATTACAATAAGAAAACCTTTGGGTGCAATACTACATGTGTTTTTCAGTGTAGTTAGATGCTGGCAGTCGCTTTTAACTTTTTTATTTTATGTTGGAGTATAGTTGATGAACGATGCTGTGTTAGTTTTAGGTGTACAGCAAAGTGAATCAGTTATACATATACATGTATATATTTTTCAAATTCTTTTCCCATTTAGGTTGTTACATAATATTGAGCAGAGTCTTCTGTGCTATACCATAGATCCTTGTTGGTTATTGATTTTAAATTCAGCAGTGTATACCTGTCAATCCCAGACCCCATCTGTCCCTATCCCCACACCGACCTCTCCCCCCGTAACCATAAATTCATTTTCTAAGTCTGGGAATCAGTTTCTGTTCTGTAAATAGGCACATTTGTATCTTTTTTTATTTTTTAAGATTCTGCAGATAAGTGGTATCATACAATATTTGTCTTTCTCTGCCTGACAGACTTCACTCATTATGACAGTCTCTGGGCCCACCCATCTTGCTGCAAATGGCATAGTTTCATTCTTTTTAATGGCTGAGTGATATTCCATTCCATATATGTACCACATCTTTGTCCATTCATCTGCTGATAGACATTTAGGTTGCTTCCATGTCTTGGCTCTTGTAAACAGTAGCAGTCACTTTTTATTTCAGGAAGTCTTTAATGACTCAAATATACTTACACTGATGTGTTTATATAGAATACACTGTTAAACTTTTTTACTTTCGTAGGGAATTTTAGTCAAGGATAATAAGCATATGGGCAAATCAGACTCTAAGGATATAATTGTAACAAATGAGCAACAACATATTCTGTGTGCTAGGGTTTGAATTCCTTTGGTTTCTTGACCAGAAATACTTATAAACTCATCACTAATGCCAAGTATTCTGATTTCAACCTAGATTATTTCATATTGTTTGCATTGTGATAATGATTGTTGTACTTTTAGAATAAACTTGAAATTCAGTTTATATTTAGAGACAAGCCATTAAGATCATTTATAAAAGCTCTTTAAAAAAAAAAGTTCTTAATTTTTTTGTTTTCTCATCTCTAGATTTGGGTCCGCTACTTTCAAACATGTGGTAACGTTAATGTTTTGAAGCCAGAGTATGTGTGTTTCTTTGGTTATCCTCCATTCAAGTACAGTCATCCACATCAGTGGCTAAGAACAACTGCTGGTAAGTATGATCTCAAAATAACCTATACAAAATAATGTTTTGTATATTTATTCAGTAATTGAAGACTTATCACAGTAAAAGAGTTGACCTTTTACTTTTAGTCTGGCCCTCCTTGCCCTCCACACATCTATCCAATTCTCCTTTTCTTTTTTTTGCGCCCCCACCTCCCATTCCCCTTTCATGTACTTTCCCTTAATACTGTGTCTCTATAATGCTGTGAATGCATTCTCTGTGTTTAACATCTGAGTGTTCTCTTGGGTCATCTGTTCTTTATCATATGACTTACCTAAATGCAATAGTCAGCACTGATATGACTTAAATTAAGTTGTTGATTTAGTGGACTGTGTCCTTCAACTCACTGTATTATTATTTTTGTTCTATGAGGCACTCAGTCTGTCATGTTATGATAGCGTGATGAAAGCAATGTGAGGTTCTCCACATAAAGTTCTCTGGCTTCACGCTTAATTACCTTTCTCCAACTTTTTCTACTCTTGCAAAGAACTTGAGGCTTAAAGTATTAGATAAGGCAAAAGGGAAAAAAAAAACACATTTTTTTTTTTGCTGTTCTATTCAGAGTTTTATTTAGAACCCTTATGACCCTAGGCTTTTGTTGTATCATTAAGCTTTTGACAGATACTTTGGTGCCTTAGTCTGTGCTGGTGATGGGGGAAAAAGGGGATTTCAGCTGAATCTAACCCCTGAGATAAGTTAGTCCTCCTGTTCCTTGTGTATGTCATCTTCCACAACACCCGAAAATATGTAAACCATGTCTTCACCATTAAGAAAAAGATTTGTTTTTAAAAGTTGATCTTTTCTCTTCTCAGAGAAAATAAAGGCAATTCAAGCAGAAACTCGAACTTCCTGCTCTAGTCTCTAAACACTTACAAGCTTTGGGTTTATTTACTTATTTAAAAATAAAATTTATTTATTCAAATAAATTCAAACAATTTATTTGAATAAATAAATAATAAATTTAAATTTATTCAAATTTATTCAAAAAATAAATTTGATTTATTTTTAACACCAAAAGCATTTTGTATTGGGGATATGGCTAATTAACAATGCTTTGATAGTTTTGGGCGAACAGTGAAGGGACCCAGGCTTTGGATTCTTTGGTCTACCACGTGCTAGCTGTGTGACCATAAGCAAGTTACTTAATTTGTCTGTTTAATCATCTGGAAACAGAGTAATCATAGTATTATACAACTTTGTATTATTGTGAGAGTACAGCCATTCAACACTGATAACTGATCACCTACTGTGTGCCAAGGGCATTGCTGTACATACTTAGGATATATCCTCTTCCTATTATTCCCTAACTCAGTAAATAATTAAGCTAGAAACCTGGAGCCATCCTGATTCTTGTCTCACATCGAGTTGATTACCAAGATCTAGTAATATTATATCTTATGTATTTTTTAAGCCTGTCTTCTCCTTTTCAGACAGCTTTGAAAATATATAAATATGTTCAATTCTATACTTCAATTTCTTATCTACAGTAACCTCCTGTTTTCTCTGCACCCCTTCCCAACCTTTTCTATCACACCTGTGCCAGAGATATTTTTCTCTGAAATTATAGATACAAAGTTGCAGATGTGAAATTGTAGATGGGCCTCCCTATCAGCTAATTATTGCTAAATAATAACCTTCCCGACAACTTAGTGGCCTAGGGGAACAATGATTTATTGTTCTTTAGCACTCTGGGGGTTGGTTGGGTGGGCGGTTCCTCTGCTGGTTTCACTTGGGCTCACTAGTGTGACTAGATTCAGCTACAAGGTCTTCTGGGTTAGACGGTCCAAGATGGTCTTATTCATATGTCTGACAATTGGTGTTGTGTTTTGGCTGGGACATCTCTTTTTTTCTCCTGCACTTAGCATCTCTCATCCTTCAGTAACCTAGAATAGCTTCTTTATATGGGGATTTCAAGACATATTCCAAGAGGAAGAAGAGGGAGTCTGAGAGGTTATAGGGAGGCTTGCAACTTCAGAACTCACACAGCTTTACTTCTGCTATATTCTATTGGTCAGAACAAGTCATGGGCCAGCATAGATTTAAGTAGTGGTAAAGTAAACTTTACCGTTTTGGGGAACAGCTTCAAAAGAATTTAAGACTATATTTATTTGCCACTGATTCCTGATTACCTGGGCTTTCCTGATAGCTCAGTTGGTAAAGAATCCACTTGCAATGCAGGAGACCCTGGTTCGATTCCTGGGTTGGGAAGATCCTTTGGATAAGGGATAAGCTACCCACTCCAGTATTCTTGGGCTTTGCTTATGGCTCAGCTGGTAAAGAATCTGCCCTCATTGCAGGAGACCTGGGTTCAATCCCTGGATTGGGAAGATACCCTGGAGAAGGGAAAGGCTACCTACTCCAGTATTGTGGCCTGGAGAATCCCATGGACTGTATAGTCCGTGGGATTGCAAAGAGTTGGACACAACGGAGTGACTTGCATTTTCACTTTCCTGATTACTCCTAGGATCAATTCCAAACACTTCACCTTATCATGGTACACAAAGCCTTAAGCCTGGGCTGATTTCTTGCCACGTATCCGATCATCAGCTGTATAGAAGTGTTTGTCATCCCCTGACTATGCTGTGCGCTATCATATCTCCATGCCCTTGCACAAGCTGTTCCTTGCATAATATTGCTTTCTGTAGAGGTGCCATAGTATAATTACTTGTCATTTTTTGGTCACTTCAGTTAGTTTCCAGTTCTTTATTATAACTCCACGATAACTATTCCTGAGCAGAAATCTTTGTGTACCTCTCTATTTATTCAGGGAAAAAAAAATCTTAAAAGTAGAATTACTTATGGAATCAAAGATACAGAGTTTTTTTTTTTTTCCAGGGTTTTTGATACTTAATGCCAAAACTTTTTTTCAAAAGGGTTCCCATTTACACTATGAGCAACAGGCTGTGAGAGAGCACAACTTACTGGAGTGGAAACAAAAGACCATTCTTATCAAAATATATTTTGTATTTCTTAAGTACTAATCTCATATTTCTTAAAGAAAAGTTTCCTACCTTAACTTGTGTTTTACCAGCAATTTTGTTTAATAGTATTCTAATCATTGGAAAGGACCGTGATGCTGGGAAAGATTGAGGGCAGGAGGAGAAGAGGACGACAGAGGATGAGATGGTTGGATGGCATCACCAACTCAATAAACATGAGTTTGAGCAAATTCCAGAAGATAGTGAAGGATAGGGAAGCCTGGCATGCTGCAGTCCATGGGGTCCCAAAGAGTTGGACATGACTGAGCGACTGAACAAAGAAAAAGAGGGAGGAGCATTCTTCAGTCACTTCAGAGCTATTTGTTAATTTAGAAAAGTGAGAGGATCCATACATACTTTTTGTTGACCAGAAATAATGTCTGTGTTGGAAATAATTGCCATAAAGTATCATTGGCATCTACATGTTATAAAAAGGATGTAGAACTTCAAAAAGGAGTTTAAAAAAAAAATGGAAAGAAGACATAGAAAACTAAAATTTAATAAGCTAGCAGAACATTATTTGGGCAGATTAAGAATTTTCCAAGTCTTCTAATATGGATCTGCCTGATCTTTAGGCAATGGGAGTGAGAAGAGTTGTATGAAGACAAGAGATTTTAAGAGCAGGTCTTTAATGTTTATTATAGTTTAATAACATAAAACAAGGAGATCCAGCTGAATCTCCCTTTGTACAATATCCAGTTCTATTTTCTGTTCATTGCTATTAGTGCAAAATCTCATTTGTTGGAAAGGCCTTCTATCCCCTTGTAAAACAACATTATTTTGGAAACTGGAAAATGATAGTTCTATGGCAGTATCAACAGGTCTGTGTCACTGAGTAATTTATTTAAATCCTTGATGGTTATGAATGATGGCTATGCTTTTAAACATCCTAAAATACTGTTTTGAATCTATGAAATAGAATAGTTTCTGCCTCTGCTTGAGAATATTTTCTAATTTTAGATGTCAAAGCATCTGTCTATTAGCAATACATTATGTATTTAATTATCATTGTTTCTTATTTGTTTTTGAAGCTCTCCAGGGACAGATTGTTCAGTTCAAACTCTCAGACATTGGAGAAGGGATTAGAGAAGTAACTGTTAAAGAATGGTAAGTTATTCTGAAATTTTTTAAGTAAGTATAAAAGTAATTTGAGTACAAATAAATAGGAATCTATTTAAATTGAAACACCTTTCTTTATAACATATGTATTTTTTAAGCTTTAAAGTAAATCTATTTACTATTAATTACTATTTATTATTACTAAATTACTATTTATTGTTGCCACTATACTGGTGGCATAGTTCATCATACATCAGGGCATTTTATTCAGTGTAATTTATTAAGGTTTGTTTTTTCCTCTTTTTAAATTTTTTTTCACAGCCCACTCTTCACTTAAGCTAAAAAAAGATAAATTAGTCTCTAAAAGATGCTAAGTTGATATGACCATGTGTTTTGAAAAGCTGTTAATGAATGAACTTAGAGCTTCTTTCCAAAATGTTTTATTTATTTATTTATTTTTTTTTTCACAAGAAACCATCAGTTTTATTAACATGTAATATCACACAAAGTCAGAATAAAACCTTTTCCAATCCACTGTGTAACTGATTAAATACAGATTACAAGCATAAACAATGATATTCATTTCTCTGATACAATGATCTCAGAACTGTGATTTCTACAGTTACAAAGTGGAGGCTAATCATTTATGAATGAAACAAGATGTACACTAATTACATGACTTTTCTGAAAAGGGTTTCCATACATTCCTAGGGTATCAGAGGTATCTTTATTTGAAACATGTTCAAATATGTTTCATGACATCTGTTGATATTATAAAGATACAACATGAATGACTAACACCTCCATTTAAATATTCAGTGTACATGCTACATCACTGTGTCCTTAATCTCCTAATGGAGAATAAATATAAATTGATTTCTCATACAGAAATATAATAAAATGTGTTGAAACTGCAAAAAAAAAAAAAATTGATTTCTCTCTCGGATAGAAGGCCTTGTCTCATCTTTGAGTAGCAATCATCAAAAACATAACTTTGCATACACACTAAAAATGAAGCATAGCAGCATGGAGTAATTTGAGTGTTGAATAACATATCTTGGTTTTCAAATAATCACAAATCGTGTCAATATAAACAAAGATACGTTGCTAATAACTGTACATTTCTAAATACCAACCCTTCATCTTGTGATCCATACTAACATATCAATTTTCTGTCTGTTTTAACTATGGATTACTATCTACAATACTTCTCCTGAAGAGAACTTCAAAAGACAGGATTGATGAAATGCTTTCTAGTGTGTGGGATTCCCTGATAGCTCAGTTGGTAAAGAATCTGCCTCCCACTCCAGTATTCTGGCCTGGAGAATTCCATGGACACAGTTCATGAGGTTGCAAAGAGTTGGACACGACTGAGCAACTTTCACTTTTCCTAGTGTGAAATTTCTGGTATTTATTTATATTTAATTTTCATTAAATACTTTTATACATTTTTTTATGTCATTTCTTATCTTTCTTAAATAAATGGTCCTGTATTTTCTGAAGTGTATGTTTAGGACAAACCTCTTCCATCACATACTTTATTACTAGAGTTTCTTTCTAGCACGTGCTTTCTGATGTTTAGTAAGGTGAGAGCTCTGATTAAAGTCTTTGCCACTTTCCTTACATTTATAAGGTTTTTCTTCCAGTATGAATTCTCTGATGTTGAGTAAGATGTGAGTTCTTGATAAAGGCTTTTCCACATTTTTTACATTTTACATTTACATTTACATTTTTACATTTTTTACATTGTTTTAAAATCGTTATGTACTCTAAGCTTTGTTTATTAAAAATGATTTCAGCAAGAATGCAAGTACATTTGACTCACCATTACCTGAGAGTTTGCCTATATTTTTAGAACATTTTAATATTTAAAATATTAAAACAAAAGACATGAACCAAATAATACTGTTTCAAAGGTTAAAAAAAAAGTAGAAAAGAAAGGGGCTTGAAACAAAAATTAAAAAGACCTCTACTTAGGCCTCCTCTACCCCTTTTCTTTCTTTCCCTTTCTGGAAAAACAGAAACACCTCCAAGTACTGAACTAATTTTCAAAGGTTTCGAGAACTAGCAGTTAAGGTGAGTCAATAGATTCTCTCCCACAATTTTATACTGTTAAAGATCCTTTTACCTCTCGTTTAGACACCTAAACATTCTTTCCTTGTAGTTTTCATTATAATTGCTCTGTAGGTTAGGAGAGAACCATAATCACATAAATGTACCTTGCAATTGTGTCTCTGTGGCATTGTGGGATCAAGGAAAGAGCGATGGACCTTAGGTCAGAAGAGACTGACTCTGAAATTAATTGGCCATGTTAAGAGACAAAGGCAAAGAACTCAAACTGCAATTCATAAAAGTATAGGAGATATGTATTGAGGATATCAGTTTTTAAGATTTAATTCTAGAAATAATAGGTATCCCTTAAAATGTGATGAAGGCTGAGACAATAAAAGAAAATAACACTTTTAAAATACATTTTTCATATTTCATCTAAGAAATGGGTGAGGCAGAAAAATCTGATACGTTAATTAAATTTTTGGATTATAAATCTATGAATATTTCATTGTTTTTTTAAAATTTATACTTCTTGAAGAAGCATCAAAGAACCTCTGAAAGCCACTGTAGTCTCTTCTGAAACATCCTTCAGTGTATCATTTGGGACTCAATACTGGGCTCCGTGGATATTCATCTAATTCAGTGTAGCATTTTTATTATTTTAGATGATCTGTACTATGGTTCACATAAAAGTGTCTTATGACTTTTTCTTTTAGGTATGTAAAAGAAGGAGATACAGTGTCTCAGTTTGATAGCATCTGTGAAGTTCAAAGTGATAAAGCTTCTGTTACTATCACTAGTCGTTATGATGGAGTCATTAAAAAGCTGTATTATAATCTAGATGATACTGCCTATGTGGGAAAGCCATTAGTAGACATAGAAACGGAAGCTTTAAAAGGTATTGTATATATGTATATATATATGTTCATCTATCGTACCAACTTGATTATTGGTGTACTTTTGTCATTGGGTACCAGTTGAAAGTGGTGTTTACTTTGAACAACTTACATGATTTGATTTGAGGGTTTCGAACTGAGATAAGGAAAACAGAAAGGTATTCTGTGATACATGATTATCTTTAGACCAGTTAGCATGTTAAAAACATATATTTGTTGTTGTTGTTCAATAGCGAAGTTGTGTCCAACTCTTTGTAACCCCATGGACTGCAGCACGCCTGGCTTCCTTGTCTTTCACCATCTCCTGGAGTTTGCTCAGATTCATGTCCACTGAGTCAGTGATACTATCTAACCATCTTATCCTCTGCTCCCTCCTTCTCCTTTTACCTTCAATCTTTCCCAGCATCAGGGTCTTTTCAAATGAGTTGGCTCTTTGCATCAGGTGGCCAAAGTATTGGGAGCTTCAGCTTCAGCATCAGTCCTTCCAATGAATATTCAGAGTTGATTTCCTTCAGGATTGACTGGTTTGATCTCCTTGCAGTGCAGGGGATTCTCAAAAGAGTCTTCTCCAACACCACAGTTAAAAAGCATCAATTCTTCGGCGCTCAGCCTTCTTTATGGTCCAACTCACATCCATACATGACTACTGGAAAAACCATAGCTTTGACTATTCAGACCTTTGTTGGCAAAGTGATGTCTCTGCTTTTTAATACACTGTCTAGGTTTGTCATAATTTTCCTTCTAAGGAGCAAGCATCAGTATTACTATATATAAAAACATGCATAGTAATACTTTATTTATCTGGAGGCCTGCCTTCTATAAACCTTATGTTCAAAGAAGCAACAAATTCTCCTGGGAATGAAAGATTCAAGCGTTGAACACTGGTCACTAGTAAAAATTGGAATGTACAGAGATTAAATCTCACATGATGGGATTGCTCTGTTTGCCACTGATACGAAAACCAAAACACATTCTCATTGGTGGTGGTTATGAAAGCCAACTTTTTAAAGAGAAGTAGAAAAGAGGGAAAATCAGAGTGGGGAGCAAAGAAACTAGCATTCAGAAGCAGCAGCAGCCATGGAACTTATAATCATTAGGTGTTCTGACAAAAGGGAATTCATTATGAGAATGTTATAGGAAAATTAATGCCGTGCACTGTCCCTATGGTAGCAAATAGCTGACCCTCTACATCAGAAGTTCCTTTTGGCATTGGTGTTATATACCAAGGTTATGTCATCTAAGAAGCTTTGATGTGGAGGAGGGGCAGGGGGAACCGTAATTCTGTGATGCAAACCTAAGCCAGCAATCTCTCCGAAAGTGCTGGGATGAAGACCTTTCAGTATAGTGAAATTGGGAAGTTTAGAAGGAGTCTGAACTACAGTGGTTGGCTGACTGTTAGTCCTTCAGTCTGTACAGTAATATAACTAATGTCACAGGCACACTTTACAGTTTATAAAATGTTTCACGCTTAGTATTTTATTTGTTCTTATTCATGAGGTAATCCAGTTTAACAAGTTCATCGTTGGGTGATTTGCCCATGGCAGTCACAAAGCCAAATTTAGAACTCAGATGTCCTGAGTTTTTGTCCAGAATATTTTCCACTATAACATGTCGCCTCCAAAACTTCTTGAAGGTTTCTTATTATTTATTTGATTTCTGATTATTAATAGTGGTGACCATTTCAAGGTGATTGCTGTGTGTTCTTTTAATATGACCCTGTTAATTTTCAAAAACTTCCTTGCTTTTGGCGTCATCTTGTACTTTTCCTGCTTAGACCCAGAATCATCTCCTCCTTCAGGAGCTCTTGTTCTTTTAATGTGCAATGAATAAGAGACCATAATCTGGGTACTAGGGGTGCTTCCTATTGCCTTGATTTCAGATTTCTATTGAAAGGCATGATTTAGGAATATTAAAAACAAGAAAGATTTTATCTTTAAAAATTACCTGAAATAGGGGCTTCCCTGTTGTCTCAGCGGTAAAGAATCCATCTGCCAATGCAGGAGACACGGGTTCAATCCCTGATCTGGGAAGATCCCACATGCTGCGGAGCAACTAGCCTCATGCACCACAACTGTTGAGCCTGTGCTCAGCAAGAGAGGCCACTGCAGTGAGAAACCCGCACACTGCAACTAGAGAGCAGCCCCCGGTTGCTGCAACTAGAAAAAGCCTGCATAGCAGCGAAGACCCAACACAGCCAGAAATAAGCAAATAATTTTTTTTAATTACCTGAAATAAGTACAGAATTATTTTGATGTGTCAACAAGATAATACAGTTTTTTTTCTTTTTTTTGTCATTCAGTTAAGACCTTGAAAGAATTATATTCTTGACATAAACTGAAACAAGCAAAGATGCTAAACATCACTGTGGATGTCAGTAAATTAGAATAACTAATCAGGTGCTGTAGACCAGGTTAGGTATCTATCTTGGCCATCCATAAAAGCAGATTATAGTAGTCTCTTGGTATTGGCAAAGCATTGGTTCAGGACACATACGCACACAAACAGATACCAAAATCTGCAGATGCCCATCTCCCTTGTATGAAATGGTGTAGTATTTGCATATAGCCTATATTTTAAATCATCTCTAGATTACTTGTAATACCTGCTGCTGCTGCTGCTAAGTCGCTAATACAGTGTAAATACTATGTAAATAGTTGCTGGCATTCAGCAAATTCAGATTTGCCCTTTGGAACTGTCTGGAATTTTTTTCTGTATATTTTCAATCAACAGTTGGTTGAATCCATGAATCCAGAGCCTATGGATTCCCAGGGCTGACTGTGTATGAACAAGTGAGCAATTGGGATTTGAGGGGGATTTTATTGTTTGCTTTTATTTTTAAAGTTTCTTTTGGTATCCCCAGTGAAATCCAACTTAGTCAGTCTTGATATAGCAAATTATAAAGTCAAAAACTTTTTCAGGCGAGGGGTATGTTTTTTCTAAATAACCTTTTTATAGAAATTAATTTCCTGTATGACATGGATGAATCTTGAAAAATTATTCTGAGTCAAAGAAACCAGAAATAAAGAGAACATACTATATGGTTCCATGTACATTAATTTAGTTTTTAATTGGAGTATAATTGCTTTATGATGTTGTGCTAGTTTCTGCTGTACCATGAAGTAAATTAGCTGTATGTGGACATATATCCCATTCCTCCCATCTCTCCACCCCCATCCTTCCCCTTTAGGTCATCATCACAGATTACCAAGCTGAGTTCCTTGTGCTATATAGTAGCTTCGCACTAGCTAGCTATTTTACACAAGGTAGTGTGTATATATATATCAATGATAGCTTCTCAATTCATCTGTCCTTCTCCTTCCTCCCCTGTGTCCACATGTCTGTTCTCTACATCTGCATCTAGATTCCTGCCCTGCAAATAGGTTAATCAGTACCATTTTTCTAGCTTCCATATATATGCGTTAACATATGGTATTTATTTTTCTCTTTCTGACTTATTCACTCCATATGACAAACTCTAGGTTCATCCACATCACTATGAATTACCCAAGTTTGACCCTTTTTATGACTGAATGATATTCCATTGTATATATGTACCATATCTTGTTTATCCATTCATCTGTTGATAAACATTTAGGCTGCTTCCATGTCCTGGCTATTGTAAAGAGTGTTGCAATGAACGCTGGGAGACGTGTGTCTTTTTGAATTATGGTATATGCCCAGTAGTTGGCTTTCTGGGTCATATGGTAGTTTTAATTTTAGTTAATAAGAAACCTCCATATTGTTCTTCATAGTGGTTATATCAATTTACATTCCCACCAACAATGCAAGAGGGTTCTCTTTTCTCCACATCCTCTCCAGCATTTATTATTTGTAGATTTTTTTGATGATGGCCATTCTAACCAGTATGGGGTGATATCTCATTGTAGTTTTGATTTGCATTTCTCTAATAATGAGTGATGTTGAGCATCTTTACATGTGTCTGTTGGCCATCTGTATGTCTTTGGAGAAGACATTTAGTTCTTCTGCCCATTTCTTGATTGGGTTGTTTTTTTATATTGAGCTGCATGAGTTGCTTATATATTTTGGAGAGTAATAAAATTTTAGAAAATCCAGACTAATCTATGATGACAGCAAGCCAATTAGTGGTTGCCTGCTGATAGAGTAGGGAGTGGGGAAGGTTAGGGAAGGAAGAATTACTAAGGAATACAAGGAAACTTTGGGGGGTGATAGATACATCCACTGTCTTGATTGTAGTGATGGTTATGGATATATATGTATTCCAACACTCAACAAATTTTATATTTTATGTATGTATAATGTGTTATTTGTAAAAACTTAATGTGATTAGATAGATTATGAGAGTAAAAATTATCTGGTAATTTTCCTCATAGAAAAATGATCATTGCTAACTATTTCATTTGCTATTCATAATGCATTCTGAATAATTGTCTTGCATGCTAGTTTTATTTTGTGTGTGTGTCTTTTTGCTTTTATATTTATATTTTCTATAATTTGTATTAAATCTTTTATTGTAAAAATAACTATGAAGCATAATCCTATATATCAAATAAGCAAGCCTATAGAATAGTGGATTGTTTTTTAAGAAATTTATATATGCCTCTTTTTAAATTCTAGAAATGGAAAAGGTTTCTAAATATTTCGTGTACCTTGTCTTAAACAAGAATTTATAGTAAGGTATTCCCTGGTGGTCCAGTGGCTAAGACTTCATGCTCCCAATGCAGGGGCCCAAGTTTACTCCCTGTTTGAGGAACTAGATCTCACATGCCACAGCTATAACCTAGCACAGCCAAAAAAAAATTTACAGTAATACTGAATTTGTTTATATTATTCCCTGTTTTGGTGCCGAGAAAACCAGTTATACTATGAGTAAGAAAATTACCTAATGAAAAGTTTTTTAGGAGTATAAGATATATTATGTACATTTTACAAGTAGAAAATAATTACATCTAGAGTGCAAAGGATCGAGAGTAGAAATCTTAGTAGTAGTATTGGACATGAAATCCTGTCTTAATGCTTGTTTAAATAATATTCTATGGTACTGTCCTTTGTAACATGGTGTTTCAACCTACTTTTTAAGATTGGGGTATCTTGATAATTTTGATCAGGAAAAATGTATTTGTGACCTCCAAGTCCTATTTATGAGTGCTTTGGCTGTAGACAGACCTCTACTTGAAGAGACCTCACCAGACTCACTTGTGCCAACTTGTATCTGTGACATTTAAAAAGCATATACTCTTTACAATTACAAATTGATGATTTAGTTACTTAATATTATCAAGATTATATCAAAGCTGATTCATACCTCACTGTGCTGTCTACTATAAACTCAATTTTTAAACTAGTGCTATGAGTTCTCCTTATAGCTAACTTGGCTTTCTCTAACCTCTATTTTAAAAGGTAAGATTAATCCTCACTTCTCTAAGCAACTAAAACTTTTTGAACCCAAACTTTTCAAAACAATTCATTTAATGGGGCTCATTAGTCCCATTTATTTATTTTTTAAAATCCTACATATTTTACTCTTTCTTGAAGTGAGTATATTGAGTATAACCTAAAATAATTTTTTTTTGTTATGCAAAGCTATATGTCAATAAACATTCATTGTTCTAGGAAAAACAAAAACACAATTCTTCATCTGATTTTTTATTTTGAGCATACCTCTTAGCATTGTCATTGTGACAGGCCGTTATAATCCTTCCTAACTTTCAGGGAACACAGGTAACCAAGTTTGTCAAGAAGTGTGTGTTAAGAAAAGAAAATAGGGGAAAAAAAAGAAAAAAAAATAGGATCCAATTGAGAGTTTAAATGCCTTTTCTCTGAAGCAAGTGCATGGTTTTTATGTTGAGGCTACTTGGCAGCTGTTTTCGGTGTTCTGTTCCTACAACTATATATACAAGATTAAGTCGCCAGAATGCTTGACCGTCAAAACAATTGGCAAGTTTCTATACCTAATAAGCTTTAATGGAGGCTTCTTGCCACCATGCAGAAGAGAGAGGGGGGCAGAAGAGGTAGCAGAATACTTTATTAAAGTGCTCCTATTCTGCCATTTGAAGAAGGAAATGGTAACCCACTTCGGTACTCTTGCCTGGAAAATTACATGGACCGAGGAGCCTGGTAGGCTACAGTCCATTGGGTCACAAAGAGTTGGACACGACTGAGCAACTTCACTCTTTCACTTCTGCCATTATATTGCATTCACCCTTTAACATGAACATCTATCATTGGTTGAATGCTTTCTCTGTGCTTATGTGCTATATATATATATACATAGATACATACATATATATATACATAAATATATATAGACTCATTAAATCATACAGATCATTATCCACAGTTGACACATGCAACATTGAGATACATGGAGGTTGAAGTTGCCCATGACCATATGGCTGGTAATTGGTAGAGCTATGATTTGACCCCAGTTCTGTTTACTTCTGAAACTCATGTTCCAAACTACTTTCTTACACTGAAAATTGTTTTCAAAGATGGAATATCAGTTCCATTCTGCACCTAGAACACTAGCACTACATTTCTAACAACGTGTCTGTTCGTACATTCTGCAGTAACAACACAAGTTAGGTGTCAGATATATAGTATTAAAGATGTTGGCCAGGACAATACAGTGTTTTAAAGTAAAGAGTAGGAGGGAAGGAAGCCTCTTAAGGGAGAGTAAACCATTTTTAGGAAAGATAAACAGGCTCTTCGTGGAATATGTGGGAGGTATGATAGTTTGATCATGACTGGATGGCATCACTGACTCGATGGACATGAGTTTTGAGTAAACTCCGGGAGCTGGTGATGGACAGGGAAGCCCGGCCTGCTGCAGTCCACAGGGTCGCAAAGAGTCGGACACAAGTGAGCGACTGAACTGACTGACTGACTGATGATAGTTTGTGACAAAAGTTTGTCTGTGTTACAAATTTCTAGTCTCTTCTGTGGTAAGAGTCAATCTTCTCTAGAAGTCAGACTGTCTCCTGGGGAGGGAGCTTATGACAGTTGAGTTCCTTTTGGATGTCTTTAGGTAAATGAGAGTTCAAAATTAATCTCTCCTTGCATTTGATGTTTTTCCAATTGCGTACGGCTCAAAATAATCAGTACACCAGAGTGGAATATTTTTGGGCAGTATGTCCTGAACTCCAGCAGTCACATTTTCTACTACCCTTCATGTTCAATACAAAACTTGTTTGTTTTTTTTTCTCTTCCTTACCCATATGGGAAACTTTGAGAGCTCCACTGGGCCAGTTCATAGGTTAGTGAGGGGGGTGAATGAATACAATGTCTTTCCACAGCTGCAGCAGTGGAAATTTGTTTGCTTAGAATTGAATGTCAAAGATAACTCAGTTGCCTGCTGATGTTCAGAGGCTGTCTCTAATTTACTTATTCCCACAGAGATTCTGCTCTACTCAGCATTGACTTTCTAGCATCCAACCTTGGCAATTAAATGCTCTCAAAACCTTTTTTGGTTGCAAAAATGCATGCTAATAGCCCAAGATTATTTTTCTTACATCACTACTCTAGAGTTAGAGAATAAAACTACCAAATTGGTATTAGCAGAGAACAAAACTATCAAATTAGTATTAGCCATGAAACTAAAATCTTCCACAGCATTCTTCATTGCATTCAAAGCAGAGAAAAAAATTTAAATGCTATTAATATTCTCACAGATTTCACATGATTCATGTAATTTACCCCATATTTGATTCTTAATTCATGCCATATATACATATGTATGTATATATACAAAAGTACATATAGTGTACATATATATGAATATGAGACATTTATTAAGAAAATGTTTTTAATACATGTGTTTTAAAATTTATGAAAGAAACTCATTTTTTAACTTGTAGCTGCTACATAACTTTAACAGAAGTGATGTAAGTAGAAGAGAATCATAATCATTAAACAGTACTTGGTACTAGTACACCCCTCCCACTCACTGTAGTACCCTTGTTTGTTTTTCTGTTTTCAAGTTGTGTTTTTCCATTCCGAAGGAGCTCATCTATCATGCTTTTTGAATATATACTTTAAATGGAATTTATTTATATATTATAAGACACTAAGCTCAAAAATCACTGCAGATGGTGACTACAGCCATGAAATTAAAAGATGCTTGCTCTTTAGAAGAAAAGCTATGACAAACCTAGACTGTGTATTAAAAAGCAGGGATATCACTTTGCTGACAAAGGTTTGTCTAGTCAAAGCCATGGTTTTTCCAGTAGTCATGCATGGATGTGAGAGATGGACCATAAAGAAGGCTGAGTGCTCAAGAATTGATGCTTTTGAACTGTGGTGTTGGAGAAGACTCTTGAGAGTCCTTTGGACTGCAAGGAGATCCAACCAGTCCATCCTAAAGGAGATCAGTCCTGGGTGTTCATTGGAAGGACTGATGTTGAAGCTGAAACTCCAATACTTTGGCCACCTCATGTGAAGAGTTGACTCATTGGAAAAGACCCTGATGCTAGGAAGGATTGAGGGTGAGAGGAGAAGGGGACGACAGAGGACGAGATGGCTGGATGGCATCACTGACTTGATAGACATGAGTTTGAGCAAACTCAGGGAGATGGTGAAGGACATGGTGGCATGCTACAGTGCATGGGGTTGCAAAGGGTCGGACATAACTAAAGGACTGAACAACAAGCTTATTGTTTTAATGTTTTCTACTAAACAGTAATATTTTACCTTGTTTCCAGATTTAGAAGAAGATGTTGTTGAAACCCCTGCTGTGTCCCATGATGAACACACACACCAAGAGATAAAGGGCCAGAAAACATTGGCGACTCCTGCAGTTCGTCGCCTTGCAATGGAAAACAATGTAAGTTTTCTTAATATTTAAGAGTGAGATCACATAGACCGTCTACATATGTATCTATGAAGAATTGCCCAGCTATTCAATAATGAGTAAGTTGGGATTAAAGGAAACATGGCTCAAGTTACTAAAAGGTTAGTCCTTATGAGAAATGAGAAGAAAATTGTGAGCTTATAATTCATATTAAGTGAGAAGTGTGGGTTTTTTATTTTTTCTGAGAGCCTAATGACAGTCGGGACTACTGATTATTGAACACTTGTAAATACTAGAGTCTTAGATCAGGTACCCTAGAAGCATAGCTTGAGACAGGGGTTTGGGAACATGTGATTGATTAATTGAAAGAGTGATCATCTTTACTAGGAAGAAAGGAAGCATTGTAGGGAAGGGATGGGAAATGGTCCAGGCACGGATATGGTCTCAAGGATCTGCTGGATCCCCAGGAGATGGAAAACACCATAGTATTGACTTCAGTCATGGAGGCTGGTCTTTTGTGTTTCCTCTTACTTGCCAGTCATTGATGCTTAATCTTCAAAGTAAGATGGCTCCTGGGCATTGTGCTAATAATTTATATGTCATCTTGTTTTTAATCTTCACAACTCTGTGAAATAACAGACTTTTATAAGACTTGGAGAGGTCAAATAACTGGTCCAAGGTCACATAGCTAACACAGTGGTGGAACTGGGATTCCAAAGTGAATCTCCATGACTCTAAAACCAGTGCTCTCAATTATTAATACTGCCTCAAAAATTGTTGCCTCCATCGTTTGAGCACTTCTGAGCCAGACGCCATACATAGCTAATCCTCAAAGTAACCCTGCAAGCTGGTTTGGGTTATCCTCTTTCTGATGAGATGAGAAAGGGAAGAGAAGTTGATTGGGTTGTCTCTAATCAAATAAGTAGCTCAACTGGGGATGTGAGCACAGATCTTTCTGGTTCCAAAGCCTGAGTTCTTTCCACTATCCCCCACAGTGCAGGGTTTTTGTTTGTCTCTTTTTGAGAGTAGTTTAGTTACAGTGGGAAAAAAATGTTTACATTTTGGGAATATGTGGTAAGAGTCATTAAAATGTTCATATCTCTTCAGCTAGGTATCCTACCACTGAGGAAGGTCATCTAGGATATAGTCTTCCAAGTGCTTTATGTAGCCAGAAACTAGAAGGCACATACGTGATCAAAATCAGGGAAATGCTTAGGAAAATTATGTTCTATACCGTTAATGAAAATTGATTAGCCATTAAATGTGTTCAGATATGAAGAAGATTTGTTGAAATAGAGCAATAGAAATGGTATTATGGGATACTAGATTGTTAAGTTATTAGATGAAATAATGATCTTCTATATTGCTTTGAAAGCTATAAACATTTTACCATTTTAAAAAATTATATAGAAGGACTACCCATAGAAATGTATGATGTAGCTTTCCTGTGTCTTTCTAAAGATATATATATATAATTAGGGCATTTGTATAATTACTAGAAATTAAATAGCAGACTTATTATTATAAAACAACTCTTCCCTGTCCCTTTTTTTTAGCTTGCATATTAATGAATAGAGTTTAAAACCAGTGGCACTCAGAGTTTGTAATTACCTAAAAATTATTTGTTTAAATTCTTAGAGTTTACTTGTTATAAACTAAATGTTTGATGTGATAAAGTCCTTTATTCTTTTGAAATCATTCTTAGAGAAACACTAATATAAATAAGGCAGGATTTAACCTTGAGAGATTAATATACACTATGCAGGAGGGTATCATCCAAGTTTATTTGTCTTCTTATGCAGAATTCAATTTAGTGAAAATATTTTATCTCCATAAGCAAACATAGGAAGTGATTAAATAAATCCAGATCATAAATGTTTCCAAAAAGTATCATGAGTGACTAGTAGAAAGTGGAATTGCATCATCAATTGTTTATTCTGTGGAATACCTTAATAAAACTTAGGTGTTGATCCTTAACTTGGGCTGAGGAAGTCACATTCCAAATATGCCTCAATAAAGTTCATTTCAATGTTTTGTACTGATCTTTGTAAAACAACCATCAGGAAAAAACTGACAGAGTTTTTTGTTTTAAACTGAACTTTTTATTTTATATTGGAGTATGGCCAATTAATGATGTTATGGTAGATATAGGCCGACAGCAAAGGGAGTCAGCCATACATATACATGTATTCATCTCCCCCAAACTCCCTCCCATCTAGGCTTCCACATACCATTGAGCAGAGTTCTCTGAGCTATGTATTAGGTCTTTGTTGATTATCCATTTAAAATATAGCAGAATGTAGCTGTTACAGAGAGCTTTTGTTGGATGATTATTTTAGCCATTGTGTGTATACTGGTAGCCAAGGTCAGAAACATTGATCTGCATTTGTTACAGTGTTTAACTCTTCTTTAAAGGCTCAGTTCTTCTTATGTAGTCTTCAGGAAAAGAAAAACAAAATCCAATAAGAATTATGCAAGAAATTTAGAAATAGTTGTTTAAAAATATATTTTCAAAAATAGCTATATACAATGTAGTTATTACATTGTTACTACATGGGTAAATGAACAGTAGGTAGAAAAGTAACAAATGACTAGTGTAGCTGTAGTTTATAGTATTCAATTGAGATGATGAAAATGTTACAATTTAAAAAAAAAAGAAAATGTTATAGTTTATAGTATTCTGTTAGGATAAAGAAAATTTATAATTTATAAGTTATTTCCTTATACTAATTTATTGGTCAGAGATACTTTACCTTCAGTTCATTTAATTCCACTTAGAGACCATAATGATGGATTTATTTATTTTTAGGTAGTTTTATTTTTAGCATTAAAAAGGTGTCCTTTTTCTTAGATTAAGCTGAGTGAAGTTATTGGCTCAGGAAAAGATGGGAGAATACTTAAAGAAGATATTCTCAATTATCTGGAAAAGCAAACAGGGGCTATACTACCTCCTTCACCAAAAGCTGAAATTATGCCACCTCCACCAAAACCAAAAGACAGAACTATTCCTATTCCAATATCAAAGCCTCCAGTGTTCACAGGCAAAGACAGAACCGAACCCGTGAAAGGTAATAATAACAGTAATGTAAAGGAATAGTGCCATTTATTTGGGGGGAAGTTGCTTCAGCATTATGAAATTATAATTTTTCTAGGAAAAGCTTTAATATATACTGATAAGTTTTGAGTAGTAATATGTTAGCATGTTTCTTAACATATAAAATTGCCTACAGATAATTTCTCTGTTTTAAGACTTGCTCAGTTCAGTTCAGTTGCACAGTTGTGTCCGACTCTTTGCGACCCCATGGACTACAGCACGCCAGACTTCCGTCCCTCACCAACTCCTGGAGCTTGCTCAAACTCATGTCCATTGAATCAGTGATGCCATCCAACCATCTCATCCTCTGTCGTCCCCTTCTCCTCCTGCCTTCAGTCTTTCCCAGCATCAGGGTCTCTTCCAATGAGTCAGTTCTTCGAATCAGGTGCCCAAAGTATTGAGCTTCAGTATCAGTCCTTCCAATGAATATTCAGGACTGATTTCCTTTAGAAATGACTGGTTTGATCTCCTTGCAGTCCAAGGGACTGTCAAGAGCCTTCTCCAACACCACAGTTCAAAAGTATCAATTCTTTAGTGCTCAGCTTTCTTTACAGTCCAACCCTCACATCCATACATGACCACTGGGAAAACCATAGCCTTCACTAGATGGACCTTTGTTGGCAAAGTAATGTCTCTGCTTTTTAATACGCTGTCTAGGTTGGTCATAGCTTTTCTTTCAAGGACCAAGCGTCTTTTAATTTCATGGCTGCAGTCACCATCTGCAATGATTTTGGAAGTAATTTTTCTGCTTGAAGACTTGTTCGGGATATTTTAAATATTTATTATTTTTTGTTAGATTTCAAAACAAGTACTTCTGATTTATGTACAAACTCTTAGGATGATTATCTTCCAGAAGTGACTTTGCGAGAAAGCCATTGTGTAAATACGTGGCTTGCATTCTTTTGAATTTTATATACACTACAGCTTCCAAAGCAATTACCTATTATATTGGGCTTTCCGGGTGGTGCTATTGGTAAAGAATCTGCCAGTGCAGGAGACATAAGAGATACAGGTTCAATCCCTGGGTAGGGAAGATCCCCTGGAGGAGGGAATGGCAACGCACTCCAGCATTCTTGCCTGGAGAATCCCATGAACAGAGGAGCCTGGCAGTCTATAGTCCGTAGAGTTGCAAAGAGTCAGACGTGACTGAAATGACTTAGCAACACTCACCTGTTATATATTACAATGACAGTGGTGTTGTGCTACAGTCCATGCTTCAGCATTGAAATTAGTGACTGTCAAGCTATGTAATGTATGTAATGAAGATGGTAGGTCCAAGAGAAAGAGTTTAATTGAGAGTAAGTGACATTAGAGAACCTTCTATTATAGTTGTTGAAGGGATCAAGGGTTTTAAGAATAAAAACAAATATGTGTGTGTTTTCTAGGCTTTCACAAAGCAATGGTCAAGACCATGTCTGCAGCCCTGAAGATACCTCATTTTGGGTATTGTGATGAGGTTGACCTTACTGAACTGGTTAAGCTACGAGAAGAATTAAAACCCATTGCTTTTGCTCGTGGAATTAAACTTTCCTTTATGCCCTTCTTCTTAAAAGTAAGATTTCATTCATTTCAAGCAAGGCTTGAGTAAGACATAAATTTTGTTTTGCAGATATGCAGTGTGTTAACTATGGGTTTGAATAAAAATAATATTTCTCATGATATCATATAGTCAGAAAAATGTACAGATATACTCTCTTTGTTTTGCAGAAGTTTATAAAATTGAAATATTTTATGTCAGATTTTTATCTACTTATCTCTTTGAATTAGGTCGGGTTATCCTGCCAGGTAGGTAAAGCTTTTAATTCAGAAAGGATCATGCCAGTAAAGTCCTAATCTGACCAAAAGTGAGACTCAGGATTGATTTTTCACTTTTCAATAAACATATGAGGCTTCTAGGAATCATTTCTAGGACCTTGGGACCAGTATGAAAAGAATAAGACAATCAGCTGAGCTTGCACAGCTCCCTAACCACTATTTAGGAAGCAGCTGCCTTCTGCCCAACTCTGTACAAAGCATTCTGTATACATGATCGCTTTTAACTATCATAATAATGCTAATGTGTAAATATTGCTATTTCCTCTTTTCGTTTAAGGAAATTGGCACTCAGAGAAGTTGACAAACTTGCCAAGGATTTATATCTAACAGGTGGAGAAGCTAAGTTTTCATTCTGGTCCATTTTTCTAAAAAAGTGTGTACTGTTGTCTCTAACTCCAGTGCGGCTTCCCATAGTGCTTTGCGCACTGCACCAAGACTGTTCCCTCATAAATCAAATTACTGTATTATCCCCTGGTTCTTTTCAGTGGTTCCCTTTCAGGATTGCCTTCAGGATAGTTTGAAAATGCCTTATTGTGGCATAACAGAATATTTCTATGAGCCTTTGCTGCCCACTTTTCATGTCTTCTCTCTCAGTCACTCCCCCTGCTATAGTCAGATTAAGCTATGTGTAGCTCCTGGAATATACAACTCTGCCTGAAGTACTGCCTCCTCCCTTGATCAAATGTGTGTGCATCCTAAACACCCAAATTTTGTTCCAGTGTAGCCTCCTACAAAAGCTGGTGGTTATCATAGTCTGAGTTAAATAAGCCTTCTGTTTCTTATGGCAACTTATCTCAGTGTATTGATAGTATTTATACTCAGTTGTCTCTTCATTGATGCTGAGTCTTATAAGACAGAAGCTGTTCTCCCGTATCTCCATCTTTTCAACAACTACCCTAACGAGGAAAGAGATGCTCTATAAACATGAGATGTAGTCGGTGCCAATAATGAGGGATCTAGACTATATTACAGCTCTGAGGGTCATCTGTAGAGGCACAGCAGTTGAAACTCTTGGATAAGATCACTCAAATTATGTGCAAAGAAGAAAAGAAAGCTCAGGCTTCTCCATCAGTGTTTAAGAGGTAGATAGAAGTTGAGTTGGCAAGGTGGTGGCAGAGGGTGTGTGGGGTCAGTGGTTTGATGACAGCAGAACCAGGAAGTCACTTAAAAGCCAAATGTGTCTATTGCTGAATGACAAACCACCCCCAGAGTTGATGGTTTGAAACAGTTAGCCATTTATTATTTCTTATGGGTCTACAGTCTGTTTCTCTGTAGTTTACAATCTACATTTATTATATCTCATGAGCACAGCCAGTCTGCTGATCTTGGCAGAGTCCACACATATGTCTACAGACAGCTAGTAGGTTGGCTAAGGGGCCAGCTGCTGTAGGATGACCTTAGTGAGACTGACTTATTTCTCTTCCCATGTCTCTCCTATCTGCCCAGTATACCAGCCTGCACATGGGCTCAGTACTGGCAGATGAAGAGAGGAGGCAGAATGTAAACGCTTTCCCTAAGCTGCCCTGCACCCAGTTTGTTTTTAATTCACTGAGCAAAGCGAGTCACATAACGTAGCTCAGAATCAGCTTGCAAGAGCACTGCCGAAGAATGTGTATAGGGAGGTGTGCAAGATTGGGGCTTTTGATTCAGTCTCCCACACCAAGAGAGAAGAAAAGGTCAAAGGTCAACCAGAACTTACTAAATAAAGTATTGCTGAGGTTGAAGCTTGGTTACTGTTAGTTGGGTTTGGGGAATGAAAGAAATTGAGGAAGAGGAGAACCTGAAAAAATATGTTAAGGCAGACAAGGCATAGGTACAAATGACGGTTAAAGTACTGTACGGGGGGAAAATGACCTCATATCTGTGGACACATACCTTGTTTTTCCTTTTACAAAATTTGGATTATACTCAACATACTGTTTGTAATGTATAAGCGAAGAAGAACTAAAGAGCCTCTTGATGAAAGTGAAAGAGGAGAATGAAAAGTTGGTTTAAAACTCAACATTCAGAAAACGAAGATCATGACATCTGGTCCCATCACTTCATGGCAAATAGATGGGGAAACAGTGGAAACAGTGGCTGACTTTATTTTGGGGGGCTCCAAAATCACTATAGATGGTGACTGCAGCCATGAAATTAAAAGATGCTTGCTCCTTGGAAGAAAAGCTATGACCAACCTGACAGCATATTAAAAAGCAGAGACATTACTTTACCAACAAAGATCTGTCTAGTCAAAGCTATGGTTCTTCCAGTAGTCATGTATGAATGTGAGAGTTGGACTATAAAGAAAGCTGAGCACTGAAGAATTGATGTTTTTGAACTCTGGTGTTAGAGAAGACTCTTGAGAGTCCCTTGGACTGCAAGGAGATCCAAACAGTCAATCCTAAAGGAAATCAGTCCAGAATATTCACTGAAAGGACTGATGCTGCAGCTGAACTCCAGTACTTTGGCCACCTGATGCAAAAAAACAACTCATTGGAAAAGATGCTGATGCTAGGAAAGATTGCAGGCAGGAGGAAAAGGGGACGACAGAGGATAAGATGGTTGGATGGCATCAATGACACGATGAACATGAGTTTGAGCAAGCTCCGGGAGTTGGTGATGGACAGGGAAGCCTGGCGTGCTGCAGTCCATGGGGTCACAAATAGTCGGACATGACTGAGTGAGTGAACTGACTGAACTGAATGGATTTTTTAAATAAAGAAAATTACAGTTATAGTTATCAAATCAAATGCTTTATAAAACTCCTTAACTTTCCAGTTCAGGGATATGATTTCTTTTTTTCTGTCAAGACCCCCCCACCCACAGACAAAAATAACACAACACAATGCATATAACGGACCATTAATTGGACAAGATGAAGGTGGTGGGGGAAGGAATTCTTTTTACCGTCAATCTTAAGCATTTTTATTTCTTTAGTTTTTAAACTGTTTGCAAGGCATGACAACCAAATGCGATGTCTCACTTTGATTATATCCTGAATAGTCAGAGAAACAGCTATAGAGAACATTTTGGAGACAGGGAAATCTGAATATGGACAGAAGAGAAAGCAAGAAAAGACAGAGTGGGAAGACAGAAATGCCATCAGTTTGGGGAGACAAGCTCTAAAGTCAGTGTTTGCATCAGCTCTGCCCTTCTCTTGGCCAGGGACACCAGCTACACCACCAGCTTCTCAAATCCTTGTCACCTGTTCTTTCTACACAGGGGAATAATTAACTGCTCTTTTGGGTTTTAATTCAAAATGTTTCTTTGAACTGCAGGTTTTCTTCCCATGGAACTTTTAACACTCTACATGTAAATGAGGAAAACACAAGAATTTAGACCTTTTTTTTTTTGGTGTTTTGGTCAATCTTCATAGTTATTTTGAAAATCTCCTCAGTGTGTACAAGCTACCTTGACGACTTTATCTTTTATTCTTAATTGATAATTAATAATTTATTAAAGAATAATTAATTTTATTCTTAATTGATAAGGGTAACCTAGTTCCACATTTCTGGACGATAAGTTAGGAGTAATGCCTGGTAAATGTAGACTTGAGATTAAACTCAATTTACAGAAGAGTTCTCTCCCTCCATCCTTTCACCTCTTAACACTTCAAATCTCCTATCCTTTCAGAGTTAAAAGTGTTAATGCTGCATTTTCTCCCCATTAAACAGGCTGCTTCCTTGGGATTACTACAGTTTCCTATTCTTAATGCTTCTGTGGATGAAAACTGCCAGAACATAACATACAAGGTTGGCTCTGTGTTGTGAAAATATTTTGTGTAAATATAAGTGCAAATGTGCTTGTAGGTTAATAATTAACAACACTCTTCAGATATGCACATTTCCATTTTTAACCCCTTTTGGTTTTCTGGTTAGAATATTGGAAGTACACAGCTGTGAGGCAGTGGGTTACATTTTTCACACTACACACACTCCCCTCAGACAGAAGAGGGCTTGAAGTGGGATTCCTGCAGTTTTAAAAAGCAAGACCAATTTAAATGAGAAAATTAATGAAAGTTTAAATTCCGTTGAGTGAACTCTTGTGTTTGGAGTGAAAGTTTATGAAGACTGAGAACTCTTTTGAGGATGCTGGCTTTTACTTATTATTCTTATTAGAAATATACAACCAAGAAGAAAGCTTTATATTCTGGGGGGGTTGAATCTAAAATCTTTCCATATGATTGCTACAGTTTTCTCATTAAGTATATACTTCTTGCAAATAATTCAAACCAGAAAATATTGATATTTACCTTCAGTCCCATGACCCTAAGATAACTGTTTATGCTGAGATATACATCTGTCTAGGATTTTATTTTTATACAGTTAAAAAATACATGGAATTCTATATATAATACATATGTAATATTATAATTTTTTAATTAAAATTTTCTTTTAACTATTTTATTTTCCATATAATATATTTTAGACATCATTGTATGTCAATAAATACAGCTTTATCATCTGTTTAGCCAGTGACTTACTGACAAACATTTTGATCATGTGCAGTTTCTCCATCTTAGAAATAATCTGACACAACATCTCTGTGCATCTCTCCATACTCCTGTGTTTATCCCCTTAGCACACATTTTTATAAATATTGGTACCTAATGTTAAATGTTCTCCAGGAAGTCTGTGTCAGCTCACACTTCCGCTAACAATGTATGAAAATAATCTGTTGCCCTAGTTTATCTTTTTCAAAAAAACCTTTTAAAATCATTCTAATTATCACTGGACTTCCCTGGTGGTCCAATGGATAAGAATCCACCCACCAATGCCGGGGATGTGGGTTCAATCCCTGATTCCAAATGCCACGGGGCAACTTAAGCCCATGTATCACAACTATTGAGCTCACACTCCAGAGCCTGCTAGCAACAACTACCGAAGCCCACGTGCCCTAGATCCTCTGCTCTGCAACAAGAGAAGCCACCACAATGAGAAGCCCATTCACCACTACTGGAGAGTAGCTCCCATGCTCACTGCAACTAGAGGAAGCCTGCATGTACCAGCGAAGGCCTAACACAGCCAAAAATGAATAAATCAAAATAAATGAAAAGTTTTTAAAAATTACCATCAATCTGGTGAACATAGCTTTTGACAGTTAAGTTCTTAAGGCAGTGAGGGTTGAGCCTTTCCTTTCTGTTGGCCTGTGAAAGGGCTACTATATAATTGTTTGTTTGTTTTTAGGCTTCTCATAACATTGGAATAGCGATGGATACAGAGCAGGGCTTGATTGTACCTAATGTGAAAAATGTTCAGATCCGCTCCGTATTTGAGATCGCCACTGAACTGAACCGCCTCCAGAAATTGGGCTCTGTGGGTCAGCTCAGCACCAATGACCTTATAGGAGGAACATTCACTCTTTCCAACATTGGATCAGTGAGTAATAGCTGTGTTCAAGTACATAAACCGTAACTTAAGAATTGTGATCATATACTCAGTTAAAAATAGAAACTTTCATTTGCCATTTATTCCTCAAAAGCTTAATTTCTCTACTCTTACTTTTTTTCTTTTTTTTAGATTGGTGGTACCTATGCCAAACCAGTGATACTTCCACCTGAAGTGGCAATTGGGGCCCTGGGAACAATTAAGGTGTGTTTGTTAAATAGTTGACAAAAGAGTTTAAGCAAATTGAGAGAGTGAAAACAAAGAGTATTTCTGAGGTTTTCCCCCTCACTTTGTAGGTTCAAGTATGGTATTGGGCTTAATAAGCCAGTGATTTCTTAAGAAGAACTAGGCCTATACTACTCTGTAGAGTAAATACTCGTGATCTGGATCATTTTTGTATGGATCAACCATTGTGGATTATGCCAGGCACAAATGTGTGTGTTTATAAGTAATCACAAATGTAGCCAGTCTGAGTCTATCAAAATGTCTTAATTTCAGAATGCCAAAGAATAACAGTAAGCCAGTCCAAATCATTATTTATAATGGTAAGACACCATTGAGAGCAGTTTTCTCAAACTTTGCTCTGTTCAGGAATCACTGAAGTGATTAAGAGTGCAGATTTCTTGGCCTTGGGGACAGAGCCTCCAAAAGTTACATATTAAACAAGAACATGGGTGTTCCAGCATGAGTAAACTATGGCCCTGCTATAGGAGACTGACTTAGAATAAGGATTGCAATGATTCTTAACCCTGGTTACACATTAGAATCATCTGGAGGGTGTGAAAAAAATGCCCAAGCTCACCCTGTACCAACTGCACCAGAGTTTGGGGGCCTCGGGCTTGGGCATCCCCATTAAATCAGGGTTGAGAACCACCAGAGTTAAAGAAATAAGCTCATAGATACCATTTCAATACCTCCATTATTAAATGTCATTGTCACTACATTAACCTTGATTTTGATCTTCATGTTTTCAGAAGAACCTTTCTTCCCTGTATTTGTAATGCTTCAACATGGAGCGTCTCTTAGACTTTTCATGAGTTTATTACTTTCATGTCTGCATCCAAAACATTCACAGAAACTTGCACTCAGCCTTTGATTTGTTTTCTAGCAGGTGGTACTTTGGCAGCTAAATTGCTCCCTCTTCTAGCCCTGTTTTCCCTCTGGCATACAGAGGAGATGGGGAGAAAAAGATCAGAACATATCCATGACACTGTTCCATCCAAATCAGGAGTTTCTCTAAGGGACAACTTCAGTCACTCATTCTCCCTCCAGCAAGAATTCAGCATTTGATTCTCACTAATTTCTGACCTTTTTCAGTTTATAAACAAGCCATCGTACCTATTTGACAAAGTTTTGTTTTCCCATCTCCTCTGAAAGTGATGTGTTTCCTTCTGAACTATACCTATAGATATATTCTTGTAAACTACATAACAAAGTTTACCATTTAATCATTTTTAAGTATATGGTCGCAACGGTAGTTACATTCACATTGTTTGCAGTCATCACCACTGTTCATCTGCAGAACTAAGTTTTATCATCCCAAACTGAAATTCAGTATGCATGGACATTTTGTTAATCTATTCATCTCTAGTGAATATTTGGGCTGTTTCCATTTTTTCAGCAATTGTGAATAATGCTGCTATGAACATTGGTGTACAGTGATCTCTGTGAGCTGTATTTTTTCAGAATCATCTTACCCAAGGTTTTTTCAAGTATATCTCTTAGAGGATAAATCTTCACAGCAACTTAATAGAGCTACTAATCTTTGTTGGGTAGGGACAAATAATATTTCATTTTTTTTCTCCCTTTGTGTCGCCTCTCTTTTGCTATTTTCTGTTTTCACTGTGAATTTTAGACTGTCACTAAATAGTCTTAAAACATTAAACCCTCCCCATTTCTCAGTTCTAAGTCCTTATATTTCTTGACCTATTAGTTACACTTAAGTTGATCAGTACCGCCTCCTTGGAAAAGCTTTTTCACTGTGACAGGAAGAAAACCTTGCTGGTCTGTTTTCTCCCTGTCTAGTGCCTATTCTCTCTGAGTCTCCTTTCCTAATCCCTCCTCATCGCCCGATTTCTAAACGCTGGAGTACCCCTGGGTTCAGTTCCGGCCGTTTTCTTTGTCTGATCCAGTCTCAGTGGCTTTTAAATACCATTTAGATGCTGATGGCTTCCAAGTTTAGATCTCCAGACCAGATCTCTCCTTGGAACGCCAAACTCATCTTTCCTGCTTCGGAGTCTAGTAAAGCATCTCCAGTTTCCTGCTTCTTCCCTTCCCACGCATCCTCACACATGCTCCTTCTGGAGTTGTCCCCTTTCAGCGACTGGCCCTTGTGCTCAGAAACTTCCAGTGGTTTCTCACCTCACTCCAAAGTGAAGGGAAAGTAGCTGCGGTGGCCTGCATGGCCCCAGGCTGGTGCCACTCAGTGTGAGGGGGACCCATGTCAGGCCGTGACTGTCACGTCCAGGCTATGAAGAGATCATTACGGAAAGAGAGTAGGCAAAGAATCTGCGTGCAATGCAGGCGACCCGGGTTCAACCCCTGGGTCAGGAAGATCCCCTGGAGAAGGAAATGGCAACCCACTCCAGTATTCTTACCTGGAGAATCCCATGGACAGAGGAACCTGGCAGGCTACAGTCCATGGGGTGGCAAGAGTCAGATATGACTTGGTGACTAAACCACCACTAATTACAGAAAGAGAGTAGGGCTTAGAAATTTTCATTGCCAGCTCTCCCTTTTTTCCCCGAATAAAACACAGTAAGAAGTTTATTAGCTTAGGTAGAAAAGGCAGAATGGTTATAAATTAATTTGATTCATTTTTAGTAAATTCGGATGATAGGCATGAAATATATAAATGGACAGTATTTCTGCCCATGAGATTCTTATATATTTTCCCCAGGAATGTTAGAATTACACTGACAAATCACAATGGAAAAATAGGCTTATTATTGGAGAATTGTTCCAGTGTGGGTCTTTCTTTTCTTGGCTGAGGTGTGCAGCATATGAGATCTTAGTTGACCAGGGATCAAACCCGTACTCCCTGCATTGGAAGCTCAGAGTCTTAACCACTGGACCACCAAGGAAGTCACCAGTGTGGGTCTTAAATACTCAGGTCCATCAAATATGACAGGGGCATCTTTTTAGGTTTATTTCTATGGAGCATGCCAGTTTCAACAATAAGGTGTGGAGACTTACATTATCAAGAATAACAAGCTACTTACAAAAACAGATCACTTCTTTAATTGTGATTTGGGAATGGGGCAAATTTCCAGAGATTAATCATCACCACAGCTAAGAATAACTGACCAGGAAAGAATGATCTCCAGTTTTTTTCAGAAAGTTGTCTGCTCATTAGGTAATGTTAAAATGGAACAAAGATGGAAAGCTTTTAAACACTCCAGCTTTAATATTTAATTTTAAATATTCCAAGAGGAATGCAGCCATCACAGAAGTCTGTATTAGCTGGTAGATAGCCTAGCATTTTTTTTAAAAAATCACTGCCTTTCGACAGAGTGGTTTTATGTCTAATGAACCTATCAATAAAAAGTGGGTCTTGTATTTTGTGTACCTTTATATTTATTTTAGTAGTTCATTTTAATATACAGTTTTAAAAATACTTAAAATGAATTAGGGTTTTTTAAAATCTGTTTTTAAAAAAATCAAAGACAGACTGGGAACCCTCACTCTTACCTTTACAACATGCACTTTCAGCCTGCTCCCTCTGTGACCTCACCTCCCATCTCTCACCCGGCCCCTCCACTGCAGCTGTCTTGCTGATTGTGCTGGGCCTCCAGTGCTCCAGCCAAGCTTCCCCTCTGTCTTTCCAGGTGTCCAGATGGCTAGCTTCCTCACTGCCTACAATGAGGACACCTTCTTGGTTAAGCTTTCCCTGCCTGCCTGTCAAAAATAAAATGCAACTTCTCCCCTATTCCCACCTCCTGCCTACAATCTCTGTCTCTGTTCCAAAGTGCTTTACTTCTTTCCTTTGCACTTTTCACTCTTTAACACTATATAATAAAATGTTCGCTCCAAGAGGGTGAGGACTGTTGTTTTATTCATTGCTTTATCCCCAGAGTCTAGAAAGTGCCTGGTACATAGTAGGTACTGGGAAAATAGCTGTTAAATAATGGAAAAATCTGAAATGAAATTTACCGTACATATAGAAAGTATAGAGGGGACAGGAAATGCCTTGGAGAAACTCTGAAAGCTTGAAGCACACACTCACAAAGATGGGCAAGGCAGGCGTCAGCATTTTCAAAAGTCACTCGGGATGCCCACTTCTCTGTTAGAGGGAGGGAGATTTGCCTAATCTTTCAGCATTGCTGTTGCTAGAGCTTACTTTATGCAAGTGAGGCTGACTCTTTGTTCTTTTCCTTATTTGTAGGCCCTTCCCCGATTTAATGAGAAAGGGGAAGTCTATAAGGCCCAGATAATGAACGTGAGCTGGTCAGCTGATCACAGAATTATCGATGGCGCTACAGTGTCACGCTTCTCTAATTTGTGGAAATCCTACTTAGAAAATCCAGCTTTTATGCTACTAGATCTGAAATGAAGATTGATCAAACATCCTTGAACTTTCTGAGCTTCCAAAGAAAGCACAAAGCTCAGCTCTGTAGCACACATTCCTCATCGCAGTTTGTATTGTAAATGACTTTAATGTATGATTACGGTTCTGAGGCACAAAGTGGATCAGCTATTCTGTTAGGCTTTTACTGAAAAGGAATAATTGTGTACTAGTTCCCCCAGGGCTGTCACATTTTATAGGTCATAGTATGACTGTTTAATATGGTGCTGAGGTCTTTGTGTCCATGGATTGAAACTGGCAGGAACAACACAATGAATATTACTAAGAGACAGACAGCCATACACAGTACTTGTCCTATTTTTTCTCTTTCTCTCTTTTTTTTAAATTTTATTTTAAACTGACTCCTAATGAAACTTAGAGAGTTTCATTATACTTAGTTGGGAAAAGGAATTTATATGCAAATATATTTTCTATTTCCCCACAATAATGCAAATTATTTTATAAAGTAAGTGCAATTATATTTACCTTTTAAGATATCCAGGAGTCTGTTGTTCTGTAGCTATTATCATCTGTAAATGTCTTATTTGTATAAAGTAATGTCTTTTAAAAGTGAAAATTATAAGCTAATCTTAAAATGTCCAATTATAGTTTTGTAACCTATAAGGCCATTGAAAGTATTTGTTTAAAGTGGATAAATTTTTAGACTTTTGGCAATGTTTTAGTGTTTTATTGGGAGAAATTTCACCTTTACAACCTTGCTTCAATGTGAGGAAGGTACTTGAAATGTAGCATTCACTGACATTGTCTTACATTCAGAAATCCATTACCTTTTAATTTTATTTTTTTACTTTCTTGGTCTTCAGCTAAAAAGGATAGACTAAGAAATTAGTGTCTATTCTGTTCTCCATATCCTGAGAAGGAATTAGAATCAGGGGAGAGAGAAGACTAATGGGTAATTATGGACATTAAAATAAAATAATAAATTTTGCACAGAAATAAAGGTATCCTCATGATCATTTTTTAGAGGCCCACTTGAATCAGAAAGTCAGGTTGTTTCTGATATTGTCTAGGTGAATACTGTATGTTCAAGTGAAGTTTTGTGACAGAAAAAGTTGTTTTATTGTCTTTTTTATTTTTTTCAAAATGGAAATCATGTATAAGTCAGAAAATAATGGATCTAATGAATGTTATTCTTTTTAAAATTCAGATAATATGAAGAGTTGCAAAGAAAATAAAATCATCCATAATCCTACCACTATTAACAGTTAGATCAAGGTATCTGTATACATAGCTGTTCTTTTTATGAAAATGAGATTGTGCTGTATCTATTATTTTATAATTTGATTTTTAACATTATATTATCAGTCAATAAATGATTCCATATTATGATCCTTTTAAGTGGCTGCATAGTATTCTATTATTTACATTTGTTATACATCTAAATATTAAACATCTATTGTATACTAAGTGTGCTAAGCAGTGGGTATACCATGCCTATCCTCATGGTTCTTGCCTTCATTGGGCTTATAGTCTAGGGGGGAGACAGATACTTAATAATCATAAAAATAAGGATATAATTAACCTCTAAGGAAGAGAAAACAGGGTGCTATGAGAGCATCTAGTAGAGGTTATTGATCTCATCTGGGAAAATCAGGAGAGGGTGTACCATAAGTTAACCAATTCTGTATTGATGGCACTTACAGAACTTTAAGTGAAGAAAGGCATGATCAGTAAAAATTTCTCCTTCACTTAAGAAACGTGAAAACTAGGAGAACAGCAGTTTTTAAGTGAATGTGTAATATGTGCTTAGTCACTTCAGTTGTGTCCGACTCTTTGTGACCCATGGACTGTAGCCTGCCAGGCTCCTCTGTCCATGGAATTCTCTGGGCAAGAATACTGGTAGCCATTCCCTTCTGCAGGGGACCTTCTCCGCCCGGAGGTCAAACCCACGTCTCCTGCACTGCAAGTGGATTCCTTACCACTGAGCTATCAGGGAAGCCTGAGTATGTATTATGTTCCCCTAACAGTCCAGCATCACTGGCTCAGAATAAATGCTTGAGCTATCCTATCACAAATCCCTGCCGTTACGATCTTCTCTCCTGCCTCATCCTTTGAGAATTTGGTAAAGGATTGGCTTCTCATTGTGTGTGCGACCTTTAAGATAAGAGGATCCCCTGGAAGGGAGGAGGGGGCCAGGGGCACAGTCCCAGCAGCAGTGCTGATCCATGGGGCTCCACACATCCTAGGATGGGAGTTAGGTAGAACAGGGCCTTGACCATTTTCCTAAAGATTGAAATTTAAGGGGAGAAGTCAGGAGATTCAAGTTCTTCCCTAGAATGTGGGGCGGTTGGGAGGTACAAGATGTCCATGGGGGAGAAGCCAAAGTTATTGGCCCCAAATTATTGTTGGGAGAGCCCAGCAAGAAAATCAAGGTTCCATTCATTATGTAGCACATTCCACTGATTCCGAAAAAGAAGCACAATAGGGAAGGAAGGTTGAAGGACAGAAGCCCAAGTGGTATTACTTTTCATTTTAGAGATCAAAATGTACCAAATCCTGAAACATTCCAAGAAGTGGTTATGTAGGAAGAAGAGAGCCCAAAGGCCTGTTTTGGCATTTCCTGTGGCTTCCAGTCAAAGCGGGTCCCAAAGATCACTTGATGGATTTCTTTGCTGATTTCTAAGTAAACTACAATCTGAGAAATATAATGGCACTTGCTTAGCACTATCCTGCAGCACTAAAAGTATAAAACCTTTCCTTGAAGTCTTCAGAATTCTTTAACATTCACCCTGTAATTGATGAATTAATTGGCATACATTGATTACTGAATATGTATTCAGTTCCAGGCCCTGGGATAGACATTATGGATAAAGATGGAGAAGATAGATGATGTTTCTCCCCTCACAGTAAGAGCTCTGGCTGGCGATTAATGTCTTCACCAGAAGTGGGTCTGTGCCAGTAACACGGAGAAGACCAGTATTTCCAGAGTTGAGTTGTATTTTTGGTCAGTTCTTAGTGGTGGTTTTGTTCCTTCCCTATAAACTGTTTTCTCACCAAGATTGGACCATTGTATCTTCTTAACACAGTAGCCATACCTCATCAATTCTGCCTCACAAACCATACACATAATTGTAAGATAGAGACTCTATCCTTAGGCCACATAGGCCATTCACACTCTTCAGAAGGTTATAGTTTGGGGGACTTCCCTGGCAGTCCAGTGGCTAAGACTCTGATCTCTCTGATGCAGGAGACCAGGATTCAATCCCGGGTCGGCGAACTAGATCTCACAGGACACAATTAATAATTTGCATTCCACAACTAAAGATCCTGTGCACTGCAACTAAGACCCAGTGCAGCTAAATAAATAATTTTTTTTTAAAGGTTGCTTTTCATGAGGCAAGCAGCATAGGGGACACCTACATGACCCTAGACATTCATTTAGGAGCAATATGTGAGGGTTGTACCATCTGAGCATTGTATTTTCAGAGCATATAAAATATAAAGTACCATCAATGAGTCATCTAGCCTCTATGCTCACCTCATATTGATAGAGAGGGGAAAATTGAATAAAATTTGAGACAATAATTATGATAGTGTCAGGCATCATTAATACTTTACATATATTAATTAATCTCATCTCTCCAGCAATACTATGTGCATGCTAAGTCGCTTCAGTCATGTCTGACTCTTTGTGACCCTACAGACCTCAGCCCCAGGCTTCTCTGTGCATAGAATTCTCCAGGCAAGAATACTGGAGTGGGTTGCCATGCCCTCCTCCAGGGGATCTTCCTGATCTAAGGATCAAACCCAAGTTTCCTGCGGCCCCCACACTGCAGGAGGATTCTTTACCACTGAGCCACCAGGGAAGCATCGGGTAAATACAATGATTCCCCCTGTTTGAAAGATGAGGAAACAGAGTTTTTCTATTTAGATGTGTGTGGATTAACATACTCCAAAAGTGTAACAAGCTAATGAGTATATGCCACCTCATGTTCCGAATGCCAGGACTGTCCATGATTTTATGCTGTTTGAGCAATTGGTATTATTGGGCTAAAAGGAAGAAAGTTTGTCTTACGGGTCTTGGCAGTTTGAAATGCTGCCCAAAGGCTTTATGTGCTCCTGGCACCAAAAGGAAGGGGTTTGGGGCATTAGGAATTCTCTGTAGCAGTAGTTTTATTAGAAGAGCCTGGCAGGGCTACAGCCCATGGGGTTGCAAAGAGCCGGATATGACTGAGCAACTGAGCACACACTTTGGCCCTTGGTGGTCTTAAGTTTCCATCACAATGAACTAGTCCCATTCCCTGAAAACAACATACAGTTTATTTCCCATGCCTTGGCTGGGCTTATTTCTCCATAGAAAGAAACTCCAGAACAAAAGTGACTTCCTCTTTTAGACCTCCTCTGACTGCACCTCCCTAGGTCTGAATCAATCTCTCTTTTCTTCTCTCTCTCCTCACAACTTCAACAGGACTCATTCAGTGATGGAGCTGGATTCGTCTGTCTTCACTGCTGGCCTGTGAACCCTCTCAATGGCTCAACTGGTGTGGTACTCAGTATGTGCTTGTGACTTAAAAAGAAATCTGTGTCCTGGATGAGTTTATGTTTCTTTATGAAGCCCTAATGTAGCATAAAGATTACCAGTGACCCAGAAAAGTATAATGTGAAGCAACCATGGCTGCAAAGTGACTCTTGTATCTATGGAATGACTCTGAATGGCTTGCTACAAGGAAAAGTATCTAGAGGAAAATGAATCTATTCAAATCTTATAATTGGTAAGGAGGCATTTGTTTTAAATTTTTGTGTTGTATGTCTATCTCACAGTTCATTGTAATTCCTCATTTAATCAGGAAGTTTAGTGCTTTCAAGCTCATTTTAAATTTTATAAAACTTGGATCAGCATTTTGCTATTTAAAATGCTCTTTTACAAATAATTCATGTATGCCACTATACCATGTGATTAAACAAAGCAATGATTTATCTAATGTCAAGCAGGAAATAACACAGCCAAGTTTCCCAACATTATTTAT